AACAATGTTTACAAGACACATTCAGCATAATAATCAATACATAATAAAACAAAATCAGAGTAATTAACAGGAAAACAAAGCAGACAGAGGAAACACAAGAAGAAAGACACAACAAAGACAAAGCAGATGATAAAATACAACATGTGAAGTTTAAAACTAACAGTTAAAAGATGTTTGATAAAAGTGGGTTTTAAGAAGTGATTTATAAGAGGAAAGTGATGGTAAATGAGTACAGTAAATGAGTATAGTCATAGGCACAATTTAAAACACAAAAATCAATAATTATGTAGTACTACTCAGACCACATTGACCTGTCTTTCATTTGTTTTATGTTTACATGGGAAAGAGAAAAATGTTTACGTTATAAGCTTACAAAGGCAAATAAACATGCATGTGACCTATAGGAACTATATAGTTAGCAAGATAGTTTTGTGGTTTGAAAGTTAGGTACCCCAGCCTGAAAGAAAATTAGCATTAGGGCTTTACAATATTCTTTATTGCTGATATTATGCTCCGGATGCTTTTATGAGCTTAGTTGTTAAACAGTTTAATGAACCACTTGGCATGTTAAGTCCATCAGGGCGGTTTCCAGAAAGATATCAAGGGCTTCCCACCACAGCACTCGTGCACATAAATAAGACGCAGTACAAACCTCTCAGCTCCATTATGATGAAATGATGAGGACGTGAGCCACAATTGAAATGGGCTTCCACTTTACACACAGATTACTTATATTTGAAATGCATCTCCATAGTCACAGCGGTACGACTGGACTGGGGAGTTTACAGATCTGAAAGCAAATATCATTTTCTAGAAAGCAATTATAACAGTTGTATCAATTAAAATTAGAAAAATGATATAAAATCTCAAAAAGATAGCTGAAAATACTTTTTATGCTTAATCTTTAGCTAAACTACTGGTTAATGATGCATGTGCAGAATTACTGCACACAGTCCAGTGCACAGTCAGCAGTGAACATTTTTCATTGCACAGTCTGATAACAGTTGGAATGAAAGAGAAACATCACTAAGAACCATGCTGGATCATGACTCCACACCTCCTGCAAGACACAGGCCGAGTGTCTTGCACCTCAAAGAAAGCGTCTGTGTTATGTGTCCTGTTCGGTCTGTGGTTCAGATGAGCCCCAGAGTCCAGTGTCCTTCTCTGGATGTTCACTGGAGCTGGAGTAACTGTGGTGTCTACGGAAATCCACCATCAGTCTACAAAGTCTTGTGTTTGTCCTCTGTACTGTGCGTAGATCTTCTGTAGGAAAATGTTGTATCTGAAGTCTGCAGTGTGGCGGGGGAAGAGGAATGGAGCAAGGACAGTCCCCTGAGGAGCCCCGACACTGCAAGTCTGGCTTTAATGGCAGCTCTATTTGCACCTCAGAAAGTAATGCACCTTTAAATAAACTTTACAGTCAGCCTATTGCCCGCAGGTTAAAAGAATCCAGATAATTCTTCATTATTAGTAGCTCATATCAAACTGACAATATTTGACAGATTTCAGTTGTACATCACTGCACCATTTCTCTATTACACTGAGTGGTCAATGAAGACGCTGTGACACATGGTCAATGCTCAATAGATTTTCTGTACGACCCATTGAATATGCACAAACAGTAGCCTCTGACCTTGCCTGGATCTAAAGTACACAGAGCGCCCAGCAGTCTGCCTGCACACGGGCTAATTGACTGGAGCTCAGTCTTCACTGTGAGCGTCTCATTACTCATTCCACTTAGAATAACTTACACAACTTTGCTTGTGTTCTGGGGTCATTAAGAGTCAAGCAGGCCTTTAATTACAAACCTGATCAAAAGTAAGCAAAGATGCTGCCCTGGAAACACTGTTCAGTATACCATTATATGTCATCATTATTGTATACATGTATATCCATGTATTACATTTATTACATGCAAAGTGATTAATGCCTTTGTTTGTTTCATTTTGATGATTTTGGCTTACAGTCCATTATCAAAATATTCTCATTTTCTGAGATGTTTTATTTGGAGTTTATAAGAGTTGTTTGCCAATTATCAACCTTATAACAAATAAAGGATTGATATGCAGTATCTCACTTGTGTCTAACGAATATTAGTTTCACATTATGAATTGAAATGTCAAATATGGACTTTTGAACAATATTCTAATTTTCACCTGTATATTTCTTCATTTGATTAACAATGGTCACACGTAGCTAAAATCAAAGAACATAAGACCTTATTTTAAACCTGAGATGGTCCTTGATGAGGTCCTTGCACTCTCATTTAAAAATGTATTTATTCATTTAACATGGACATAACAATGATATTGGATGAACCAGATGCTATAAGTGTAATAGCACATGCTAGTTTTCAACACAAGTGTGCTTTTACAGATAAAATACATTTCATACAAGTTCATTTTGTCTAGTAGATTAAGTTATTTGGTTCTTCTATATTCTTCTCCACCTCATCTTCTGGAAGAGTGAAGTATACCGTTGAAACACGTCAAAGTAATTATATTGTACATACCTGATTGATTGAAATTTCAAATCCTTGAGGCCCCTTGTCATTGGTTTAACTGTTCTCCTCCAGCAAGTCTTACTGATGGCAAGGGGAGGGACTATTTTAAATTATTATTGTTGAAAAATACTTTCTGTACATAATATAACAGTGCCCCATGGTCAGCAATTTACATTCTTTTGAAATTTAAATGCCATCTCAGTTGCTGACATTACCAGATTTAGCATATATTTCCAAGCCCATGCTTGGTCCATAAAACAAAACAAAATAAAACATTTGTCCATTCTTGATATATAAAGATTCGAAGATTCTGCTAATTCTATAGGTTTACACAAATACAATCAATGGAAATAACAAGGGCAGACCAGAGGCAGCTTTAATGAATCCTGAAATGAAATCTCAGGGGAGCATTTCTGACGCAAAGGGCCTAAGCACAAAACATCAGCTTATCCAAACATCGTATCACGTTGTCCAAAGCGACCCTTTTTTAATAATTCACTGTGGCTAATGTTCCACATCTTGATGAAATATGGGGTCTTTATTGGCCGCTCTGCTGTGCTAATTGGTACAAGCGCCGCGGGCAAACGCACATGCACCAACCGGAGCTCTGCAGAAGCATGGACCAAAAATATGGGCTTTCATGACAAGCAAAAATAAACAATTACATTCGCATAAATATACCTTTTTCTGTGAGTTAGCCTATTTAAAACGAATATGATTTAAAATGTATTTGATGGGTGGTGGCGCGCTACAGGCTTTCTATAAACTGGCCTAACCTTGCAGCTGTTCAGTAAAACACATATTATATCTTTGCTTTGGACGACTTTGAGCAATAACCAAAGTATCCAGCTCCAGAAAAGCCTAATGCATACTGTGCTTTTATACACAAACATCTCCCAAAGCCATTTTTTTTTTTTTTTTTTTTTTACAGCAAATTAAAATTATGGAACATCAATTTCTCTCTCGTTCTCATTTGGGTTGAGTCGTGTGTTAATTTTAGTAATGCACTGTAAATCTTGATGAACTTAAGGCTGCATTTATAGCCGCAGACATTAAGTAAGGATTAAATCTGGGACATGCAGAGCGACTCCGCACCATATTGTAGCCTACATCTGCTTTTTAAATCCACAATAAATTAATACGTCCGCTGATAACTGCAGGATTGGCTTTTTTTCCTAGGCCTATATTTAAAAAGAAAGAAACCGACACACATTTTACTCAGGCAATATGTCAGCCTGAATACCCGTTTATATTTATGCCTATTCCACGTATTGGAATATAGAAACCCAGGTCTTCAAAAGCAGTAGATGCATTTCAATAAGGCAGTCTAATCACTCACCCGGGGCATGTTTCATTTATTGACAGATTTGATGTTAAATGTCTCAAGCTCACTTAGTGTTGTAGCTCTTAATTTATTATGTTTGGAGCCGCTTCTCTGACCCTCCCAGGTCACACAAGCAATTCTTTTTTTTTTAAACGCATGATTAATTTTTTAGTACATAGGACGAGCATCTAATGTATTATGAGAAAGAGAGGAATGTGTTTCAAAGGGAGCCAATAGTGCTTGTACTGCGATAAAAAATTCTCTTGTTTTAGTGGACTTTCATTTTTACGCGCAGTATAGCACAGTAGCCTGTAAAGTATGTCTGCTCCATCTATTCTTTCAGTTGTTTATTAGCTATTTACGTCCATTATGTACATGTTATAAAGCCTGGGATTAACCTACATGTCCATATATGTCTGTGTATGTCCATATATGTCCATGTATGTCCATATTTGGTCCGTGCCTGCGTGGATCGTGCGCTACGGTGGCCAAACAAAAGCGCGTGTGGTGTGGAGTGACAGACTGAATGGGTTTTAACAGAAGCAGATGGGGCTCACGCCTTATTATAATAGATCCATGGACTCACGCTCTCAGGCTGTGATAATGTGGGCTCACGCTGCACGCCCCCGCGCCCACACCTCCCCTGTCTTGACTGAAACGGAGTGATCAAGTTTATGGACAAGTTATAAGTAGGATTAACTGCGCAGACGCGCCCAATCATTCCAATACGTTCATTTACGCGTGTTTTTGATTACGCAATTAACTAATGAGTTATAAAACATTAAATTTGAATATAATTAATAATACAATTGTTTGGCTTCTGTAATGGAGAATGATAATGAATGCGGGGAAAAGTTCTTCGTGCCAAAAAATGCATGCTATTAATTCAATGAGGCCTGTTTGCTCTCCCAATCCTCATACATATGTCTATAATTTATTTTTTCTTCATAGCATCAAACACGACGACTAAATGTGGTGATACAAAAATAAAATATCTTGATTTTATTAGCATCCATAACATTTTATATTGTAGATTAGAAAGTTTTTTACTGTCACTTTTTATCATTTCATATTTATTTTTTTATTTTTTTTAAAGATACATGTTTCCTGCAACTCTTTGAAATCATTTCCCCTTTGACTTGTGTTTCTTTGCAAGAGTCATCTCAGGAGACCATGGTCCCTCCGCCTCTCCGGACACAGCTCATTTTGTGGGCTAAAATAACTACACCATGGGCAGAACTATTTGTGGTCCTGGTGCAGGTGGATTTGGAGCTCCTCTTCTGACCCTCAATTACAGCCGGACCATGAGGGCTGCAAGCGCGCCTCCCGCTGCCTTTGATCTCCTGGGAACAAGCTCCGCGTCCTCCTCAGCCTGATCTGACACAGCGCTGTGCTGCTGGGTGCGTGCAATATTGTTTTAACCACTAATATGTCATGATAGTTTTTATGTTGTTTTCAGAGATGTGGTGTATACGAGAAATATGGGTTTGTTCACTATTGGAACATTTTGCGATGTCCTAATAGAAATATCAAGTCAAAAATGATATACCGCCATGACAGTATAACATATAGGTCTATATTGGTCTCTAAATATAACATACAAAATAATCACACCGGTTTTTTTAGAACAATTAAAAAATCTCAATATTTTTGCACACAACATTTTACAAAGATACAAGATAATATTTCAATTGCAATCCAACCATTCCATATTATAAATCAAAGGCCAATTTGTATGGAACAGCACACAATATGTGCTGTTTTTATTATTTGAATAATTATATGGTGATGATGATTATATGTTTGACTAAAAAGTGTAAACTATTCCTCATTACGCCAAATGCATTGCACCATTGCCTAAAATGGGAACTTCCAAAGCAAATTAAACCAGACTAAAAAAAATCTTTCAGTTTGAATCTATAATCCAGTCTGGTCCAGTACATGCCTTTTTGAAAATATATTTGCCCATTTGAACACTATCAAATTACAAGTTTCTCATATACAGTTTTAATTTATAAAAGAAATTGGGACAAAATGATACAGCTTATATAACTCCCCTTATTATTATTTATATCACCGTCTCATGCCAATACAGTATGATCACTGCTCTCCAATACACTTCAATGGAATTAGAATAGACTTTTTATAACACAAACGCATTGTCCAAAAAACATCCCTCTTTGCGTCGCTCATTACGCACGGGTCTCGTCCAGAAGGTTATTAAAATGAAAAGAAAAGAAAAGAAAAGTGTAAAATAAGTGTCTGCTCGTGCACGTTCTCTGTGTCGCTCGTGGTCTGAGCTCGTGCACGCCAATCTCCGGGAGCGTGAGCGCGCGTGGAGGAGGAGAGGGAGGGATTATGGCGCACGCCGCTCCTCTCACAGGCGAATAAAGGCTCCGCGCCACTTTACTCACATCACACACAAGCGACTGGGAGCGCGGACCAGAGCTGAGGACTTCCCCCAAAACCCACTTATTGTAGACTTTTGTGCCGAGTTTGGTCACCTTCTCCCCGGGTAACGATGTGTCTGTGGCTGCAGCGTTGGATACAAGGGACGCGCACCTAACTGGGATCGTAAGGCTGTGCGAGACTTTTCAACACTTTAGTGGAGTTATCCAAGGTACGTGCGAGTCCGTAACTATATATAAACTATTACAACTTCTCGTGCAGATGTGTTTTGTTTTTATGATCTTGCTGAGACATGCAGCGAGACATTCAGACTTCAGAATTCATAGCGATTTTTACCACGTGTCTGCTCAACCAGTTACACATTTGTCAGTCTGAAGGCCAACTCCACATTTCTCAAATCAATTATTATTCTGCACACTATCCCGCTCTATTGCTAAGATTTGTGCCGATAATGTAAGCGACCTTTTAGTATTATACAAATGCGCAAGTGTGTTTCCTTTTGACCTACGTTTCTATAAAAAAAGAGAGAATCTACAATTTGCCTCTTTGTGTCTCTGTCATCCCTCTCCGGTTTGGTTCCCTACAATATGTGCAAATTCACGACGTGTCTGCTTAATGTTGTAAAGTGTCACTATTTTTGCGGTTACGCTCTGCTCAGCGCATGCAGCAAGGTCAAACTTTGTCTTCCTTAAAAAAAAAACGTGTTAAAAGTCGCATACGGATTAGATTTTTATATTATTATTTGTTTTATTATAGAATGAACAATTAGCCCGCAATTGTGTTGCATTTGTGGTTTCCAAGATTGTTGATATAGTTGATATAGAGATTAACACCCCGAAGCATAAATCTTGCATGAGGCCCAGTTGTGTGTTTTTTTGTGCTTTACAACATTCAGGATGTTATTCTAAAGGCATTAGATTATTAATAATTTATTTTAGGCTGATGATATTTTGTCACGACTCCATAAAGCTTTTAGATGTTGCCTAAAAGATTTGTGTTCTCAATAGGCCTGTATATTACGCACGCACGAAATCACACTGATAGGAGCAAATTAGCTAACAAAGATTACAAAAACAACAACTCAGAAAACGTAATACATAATATTAACAATTATTATTATTATTATTACGTTATTATTATTACAAAAATGTAAACAACATAATTGGCACATCCTATATATTTAAAAAAATAGTTCTTAATTTCTTATTAAAAAACAGCTATATTTGAATACAGTTTTATTGAAACCCTTTATAACACAAAGTGACTTTTTTTTTTTTTTTTACCTATAACTGTGACTTTGAATCATGATTATTTCTTCTGTGGCAACCTGATGAAATGTTTGATTTGCTTTTTGCTGTTCTTTTTCTAATTTGACCCAAAAAAATTCTTATTTTGTTCAAATATTATTGTTCAAATATAATCTCAATAGCTGTTAATTATAATGATAATTGTCACTAAAAAAGTTAACTCCCGAAAAAAATTATTTGTAGCATATTGTGAAGCTGTTTATTTGCCCTAACAACTTTCCCGTACAAAGTGTGTGTGTGTTTATTGACATTTCTGCTCCTTGGTCTTTGTTCAGGCCGCTCTTCACGTCTGCAGAGCTCGGTATGGATAAGACTCATTTATCCAGCGCAAACGAACTCATCATGACGACTCCGACCGGGCCGTATCAACCCGAGCCACGGACCCCACCCCGAGGCTCGCACCATCACTCTTCCTCCTCCTCCTCCTCCCCCTCCTCCTCTGCGCCTCTCAAACCAAACCAGGTGGGACAGGTCATCCTCTACGGCGTCCCGATCGTGTCCCTGGTCATAGACAACAACGAGAGACTTTGCCTGGCACAGATCTCCAACACCCTCCTGAAGAATTATAGCTACAATGAGATCCACAATCGGCGCGTGGCCTTGGGGATCACGTGTGTCCAGTGTACGCCCGTGCAGCTGGAAATCCTGCGCAGAGCCGGTGCCATGCCCATATCGTCGCGCCGCTGTGGTATGATCACAAAGAGAGAAGCCGAGCGCCTCTGCAAGTCCTTCCTGGGGGAAAACTCGCCGCCGAAGCTGCCCGACAACTTCTCCTTTGATGTGAGCCATGAGTGCGCCTGGGGATGCCGTGGCAACTTCATACCAGCGCGCTACAACAGCTCGCGCGCCAAATGCATCAAGTGCGCACTGTGTAATATGTATTTCTCCCCGAATAAGTTCATCTTCCACTCGCACCGCACTCCAGAGTCCAAATACATGCAGCCGGACGCAGCCAACTTCAACTCGTGGAGAAGGCACCTGAAGCTGAGCGAGAAGCACGCGCCGGATGAGCTGATGTACGCCTGGGAGGACGTCAAAGCCATGTTTAACGGCGGCAGTAGAAAGCGCGCTCTCCCGTCGTCGTCCCACTGCTCCTCCATGGGCCCGGTCAAGTCCCTGCCTGCCTCCATTATGCCGCACATGATGGGGCCGGACCTGGGTCAGAAGAGGGCGCGCTACGATGACGATGATGACATAGACAGTGACAGTTTGTCTCCACGGAAAACGCCTCGCAGTTACCCCGTCATCCCTGTGCCCAGTAAAGGCTTCGGCATGCTGCAGAAGTTCCCCCCAACGTCGCTCTTCCCCTCGCCGTACTCCTTCCCTGCTTTTGGCTTGTGTCAGCAGAAGAAGGACGACAGTGACGTGTCTGTGGGTCAGAAAGGAGCAGGACTGTCTGGTCTGCTGTGGCCGGGCCGTAAGGACACGTTTTACCCTCCTTTCTGTATGTTCTGGCCCCCGAGAGCAGCAGGAGGGATCCCTGTGCCTACATACTTGCAGCCTCAGCCCAGTGCCCTTACTCTGACTGAAAATCCCTCCCTCAGACAGGCCTTTCTGGACCTGTCTGATCCTTCTGAGAGCAGTGCTGGGGTGGGCTCCTCTAACGCTGTCACTGCCTCCATCAGTGGCAGCAGTGGCACCAGTGCACCCAGGTCTGGACTCTTTGAGCCTGAGTGTCCCACAGTGACCTCTGACCTTCGTCCTGTCACCTCAGAGGGCTGGCTCAAACTCATGGACCCTCCGACCTTGCAGAGCCGGAAGCAGAGTTACGGCTCTGCGTTTCGTCCTGTAGTGAAAGACGCCGACAGCATCGCTAAGCTCCACAGCGGAGGAGCAACAGAGGAGGAGTTTGGGTCAGAGAGGCCGCACAGACTGTCTCCCAGCAGCAGCTGCAGCTACGGTAGCGACAGTGCAGCAGGCGACAGCGAGGAGGAGGGAGAGGTGGATGTGGAGTCATCCAAACAGGACGAGGAGGAGCAGAGAGTGTTCCTCCCTGTGGCCCAGGACAGAGGGAAGGACAGAGGCATGGGCGCAGTGTATCCCAGCTCCTCCCCTCAGTGCTCCACGGAGCCCGGCCTGCCCGCCTCCCCTCCCACCACCCCACCCCACAGAGAGGACCCAGCATACAAAAACGTAAATATACCCTCAGGCCACTTGAGCTAATTATTATTTAAATGGTGCTGCAGTCAGGCAGTGATGTGATCTGCATAAGCAGATTGATAGGCCGCTTGCTCCCTGTAGAAATGAAACAGTCACCCCACTTTGATCCCAGCTAATAGGCCCAGTGTGTTTGTTCTGCCTCTGTCACTGGAGCCTGTTAGGGCAGCTCTAATCTTTAACCTGTCGACTCCCCATTAGCAGCACAAGCACCGACTGCGAAGAACAGTTTAGACAGCAGCAGTTTAATTGTCCATAGAAACACTTGAGTGAAACTGTTTAGAAAATACATTAAGAAACCTATGCAGCAAGATTATAATTAACTTTTAACTGCCTTGCAGATTTAACTGTTGTAATGCAAAATAACCTTTTTACTGTTTCTGTACAGGTTCACAAAAACAGAGACGAAGGACTCCCTGCGTATGCGACCAAAGACAACTCCACCAGCTCAGGTAACGCCTTCCTCGTGTTACGATTTATGACACCCACAGAGACAATGTCTATTATTATTGATATTATTTATTAAAGCAACATACAATTATGTTTAAAAACAAGTGATTACAGTTACATTCAAAGAACTTATGACCTCATGCCATATGCAATCTATGCATTTGACATAATAACAAATTAATGAAGTGCAGAAGGATTTTACATCCATACACATGCGAGCACATGACATATACACATATATATACTTAGAATCAGAAAAATGAGTTGTGTTCACATAAAGCAGTTAACTGCTTTATGTGAACACAACTCATTTTTATAAATGTGTTCATAAAACAGTTGTTAGCTGTAATAGTTGTTAATGCGGACAAACCACACACACCAGACACACACACTCCAAACTTCATACATTATTTGAAAACGTTGTTTTTTCATTTGGCCGTTATTTTGCAGCACCTTGTCTTCATCAAACCTCCCCATTTACTCAGTGTCATCAGGAGGCATTCTAAAAGCTCTCACGCAGTTACACACTCTCTGTTCCATCAGCCACTGCTTCATATTCCTCTGACATTTCATTTGCTGCTCCCTGATCTCACTCTGAGCCCGTACTCCAACAACACGTGTGTTTCTGCCGCGCACACAAATGGTTTTTTCATCGCACTCACTTATCTCTGCTTGTGCGGATAACCGGCTCACCAATGGGCCTCATTCGCTCTCTTCTGTTTGTGCTCCAGACGAAAACAAAGAAAAGAGCAGTTTTTTTGTGACGGAGAATGAAGCCACAGCCCCGGACTACTGGAGAGAGTCCTCTGGTAAGACATGCTGTATATACTTCTATTTGTTTTGTCATTCCTCGGTAAATGGTGCGTTAGCCAGATATGTGTGTGGACTCCACGGTGGAATCAAAGCTGCCGACCTGGAGAAATAAAGATGAGAAAAACACAGAGAGAAAGGACAACTATTAGAAATTCATAGACATTCATAATTATGTTGAAATGACGATTTCAGTTTTTGCATCTGAAGAAAAGTGGCCGGTGGGGACTGACAACCCATTACTACATTGTACAAAATTCACCCTAAATATTCTAACACAGATTAGACATATTTAAACGATTTTGTACTTCTGTATCAAATAGACGGCTGATACATATTTGAGTTAAAATTTACTCCAATACAGCCAAAATGTCTTGTTTTAATTGAAAAGAAATAGTCTAGCTGTTGTATTTATAGCTTTAATCATCTACACTTGAAATTAACCCAATTGGAAGTTTGATTTTGAAATGAATAATCTGAAATCAAAATGAACAATCACAGATGAATTCAATGTAATAACTGTTATGTTCTATCATAGCGACACAGTTTATACGCTTTCTTCTTCCCACTTTCGAGCTGCTTTGTGTAACTCAAACAATGAAATAATAACCATTTATGTAAAACTTTGTACTGTGTTTTGTAATCAAATTTTTTTGTAGTCTACCTAAAACGCTTCACTATAGTCCACAAACAAGAAATCCTCTAAACGATAAAAAACAATTAAAAACATCCCACATTAGAACAAATCTGTACAAATACACACCCAGACAATCATCTATATAAAATACACAATGCAAATGTCAAAATGCGAATACAAATTGTGTGTTAAAGGGAGATAATATCAGTAATATCCACGGCTAAACAGAACCGTCTTCATTCTACTTTCGCCAGTGTTCAGTCCTGAGTCTCGGACCAACATTTATTTATTCTTTTCAATCCTGTGTAGTCCACAAAAAACACAGGATATAATTGAGATAGAAAATGAACAAAACAAATAGATTCACAGATACATTTTTAAAATCCAGAATTATTCCCTGCGTGATCAATTCAAATTCTTTCTAGTTTTATTACATGATCTGAAAATCCCACATTTTTACTGCTGGTTTTGGCGACAAATGTACAGTACATCTACTCAATTCTATCGCCAGACCACATAGTTGCACTTTTTCCCCCCCAAATCACACTCTCTGTCTTGAACTCTGTACGAGCAGCAGGAGGATAGTGCTGTATGCAAACGGTGGCAGCTTACTCTTCAGGGTGCCGTTACATTCCAACCAGAAAACACCGGATCATCTCCATCTCACGCTCATATCGCCGCCGACATAATTGGCTTTTTTTTTTTCCTCCTCTTGCGCAAACGAAACCCTGCTTTTCTCGTTTGAAAAAGATCTCCGCTTATTGCCTTTTTATATCTGTCAGGAAGACATTAAAAGTGCTTTATGACATCTGTGCTAACGTTTATATCCAACCCCCCCCTTCTTTTTTTTCTCCCTCCGACACGCGCCGCAATGATCCCCGCACATAATGTATAATGTATTTCGAAAAATTACACGAAACAAATTAAATGAGACCACCTTTCCCCTGATTGCGAAACTGTCTCCCTGGGCGTTGGGAAGCTCTACGTGATTAGAAGGCCTGATTCCTCTGAGTGGCGCCCCCCCTTCCTCCTCCTCTTCAACCCCCAGCTACTGTCTTTAAACTCTCCCTCTGTTTCTAGGGAGGAAATATAATCTAATTTTCCATTTATGTAATGCAAACCGCCTTGGCTTTGACTATCCACGGTTAATTGACTGTCAAACGAGGTTGTTATCCTCAGGCACTGTCTGCAAATTTGCTTGTCAAATGAGACAGAGAGAGAGAGAGAGAGAGAAAGAGGAGAGGGAGGAGAGATGCTCCAAATGGAAGGAGAGGGAAAGATGCAGGGATAGGTGGGGATAGAGAAATAACACAGCCACAGTTATTCAATGAGGACAAACAAACGGCACAAATCATACAGACACACGATTGGGGAAAAAAACGTTGCCTATTCATTTACTTAAAGGTATATTGGAGGATTTTCTACTTCCGGGTGGATCATCAAGACCATAAGACCAGAGATAAGACCAGAGAGTTTTGTTCAAAAAGTGGAGAGGTCGATTCTTTCCTAAAACTTGGAAAAATCCTCCTATAAAGCTGGGGTACCAAACTGCAAAACTTTAACTCTCCTTGCTCTCGGTTCAGTCTGGTTTTAGCACTCATTTTCACATGCATGTATTTTCGGCTTCTGTTAGATCAGCTCACACCGAAAAGTGGGAAAAGAGAAGACCACACTCACTTCAGCCAATCAGCTCTCAGCCATAAACGTCAAATAGTGACTCTCAGGGCTCCGTAACAAGTATGCAACAGATAAGATTTTTTCTACTATTTCTGTCTGATCAAACTCAATGTGTTATTACATAGTGCCCCAACAATAACTATATCAATTTATCACTCAATTAATGATATGGAACAATATGTCTTTATCATCATATTTTTTTCTGTGCAAAAGTTGAACTTCATTGGCTAATTTCTGGGCAATGTGATGGAATAGTATCTGCACAGTGTTAAATAAGTGACTTTATGCTATAATTGTTGCTTTTTATTGCTGTTTTTTCTGTCATCTCAGGCCTATATTAATTATACAGATGATAAAAACATCCCGGGATTATCCTGCTGTAATCTATTTGTGTCAGTGGCATATTATTGTTTATTGTGATATTAATCCATTACAGTGTTTATCGAAATCTCTTATCGCGTCTGGGCTGTTGCCGTGGTTCTCAACCAACTGATTTGGAAATACATTGATTTATTCTGTGTGTATTGGAAATGACAACACATGTATTTTGTAGAGGATTTCAGATTTTGTTCATAATCTTAGTTTTTTGTTTTATGGACCGAGATAGTTTGAGCTTGTGTGTCTAATTGAAATGTTTAATGACAATTTTAAGATTAAATACAAATTATAAACAAAAACAAAGCACCAATAGTCATTCTATATCATTACAAACAGGATTTTTTTTTAAACTTTTCTATTGAATGTGTTGCTGAAATCAGCTTTTTGGTCAAACCGAATGAATCAGCGGCGTCTCTTGAAGCGTTGTGGATTGTTGTGGTGTTGTACTGACACCTACTGGCCACGAAAGGAAGTGCTCAAACCCAAACACGTTGAGGTGTTTCAAAAGAGATTTATTAACAATGCATGTTTGGTTTTTGTTTTTGTTTTTTTACAGGGGACCAAAACCAAAGCGCCTCGTCTCCAGCTTCCATGAAAAAGGACATGGAACATATGGAGAAAGGTAAAAAGTACTTATGTTTATGGTCAATGCCTTTAAAATAAAACATAGTCTATAAAACACTGCAACAGTATATAAATGTACATGCCAATCTATTTTTTATTTTTAAAAATTAAAGTTTACATCTACATCACAATTTAAATGTATGTAAAACAAATGCAAAATATATAACCTAAAGAAACTGACCTATTTTTTTTTCATTTTTTGACTTATATGCATTCAGTAATATATGCCATATTACTACATTTTTGTCATAATACAGTTCATTTGGGATTTATAAAAATAATTTTAAAACGTTAATTATTATAAACAATAGAAATAAATAGAATAAGCTATTTATAATGATTCTAGTATTTTTTCAATATGATCCAGAGACAAAACTTGTGTGAAGGGAATATTCTCTCAGCTAAATATTTGCGACTATTTGAATTGCGATTGTTGGTTTGAGTTCGACACGTTTGACTCATGGACCGGTTTGTTTTCGCAGAAGAGCTCCAGAAAGTTTTGTTGGAGCAGATCGACTTCCGGCGCCGACTGGAGCAGGAGTTTCACGCTCTCAAAGGAACGTCGCCTTTCCCTGTGTTTCGTAAGTCACTTTCTGCTTCATTCCAAAACCTCTGTCTTTTTTTGGTTTTTGTTAAATTTCAATTTCAAATCAACACTTAAAAACACTGCTACTATGTTTTAACACATCACATCTCTATTACACAGAATTGTCATAGATATCAATATATGTTTGTCTTCCCTATGCAGCATCCATGGTTTTCGTCAGCTGTATTACTGACTGTGTGTGACGTGTAATTTAATTTATGCAATGTAGGGGTAGGCGTCTATAAGTACTTTTTACTTCTGCCTACTCCTTTTGAGCTTTATATAGCACTTGTATGTGTCGCTCTGATCTGAATTTAACTGAATATCACACAATGTGTCATTCAAAATATGCCAAACATTATATTTTATGGGAAGAATTGCTGTATTTCAAAATGAAACCCAACCTATTAAACTAGTCTAGTGCTAAACTAATATTTAATTGAGCGAATACTTGGCAGTCCCAAACAGCTATAAACCAGGAAGTATCCAGAATAGCACACTGACCAAAAGCAAGTCAAAAAGACTGGTATCAGGCTAAAGTTATTATTATTTTAGACAATTTAAGCAGGATTTACGAATGGATCTAATGGGACAAGCAAACAGTCACAGACACACACATAGTTGCTTGTAATGAGAAAGCTACCGAAACGTGTCCCAGTGGAAAATCTTGTGTGAGACAGTAAACAAAATGTTTTATAGTCATGATTAAAAACTAATGGAATCATGCTTTTACTGCCATATATTGTGTTCAGTTTTTTGCAGTGAAGGAACAAGGCTTTCTTTCACTGTGTCAAATCTTGGTCTTCTCAATTATTCCAACATTTTACTTTTCTGTTAGCAACTGAATTGTACATAAGGCTATAACCATGAAATTATATATCCCTCAGGTATCTGAACAACTATGATGATTTGAGAAGGAAAGAAAGAAAGACATTGTTGTCCTATTAAATGTATATTAAGAGGATTTTCCCAATTTTTTTAGGAAAGACCCCATCACCAGAATGATTGACAATTGGGAAAACCAATAGTCTTGATGATCCACCCGGAAGTAGAAAATCCTCCTGTATACCTTTAAGTTTTGTAACCTAAGGCCAATGTCTTAAAATGGTATAGGGGTCACAGTAGCCTATATATGTATATGTGTGTGTATATGTATATGTATTTGTATATGTATATGTATTTGTATCTGGATGCCTATGATAAACTTCTCGCAATAGTATCAACGTTAAGACATCCCTCGTTCGCTTAAATCTCTTTTCCCCCTTTCTACATTATAAGCAATCCCGCCCAGGCGAATAAACTAATGTCGCCATGTATAATTTCAGATAATTTCCAGGACCAGATGAAACGGGAGCTCGCCTACAGAGAAGAGATGGTCCAGCAGTTACAAATGGTGAGACGGCCGCGCTAACGACGTGTTGAATGTTGCGCACAAATATTCCCCTTAAACGGCAATTACGGCGTTAGTTTATGGCGGCGCGGGATAGAGAGCGCTTCAGTAATCAGGCCTCAATGATGATTTCAGTAAAGAACATAGCAGCACCTAATTATGAAGCACTTTTCACATAATTGCACACAGTCAGCGGATGAAGAAACGCGCAAAAAGTGGGATAATGGCGGATGAGCTGTTTAAAGGAAAACATATTGTGCTATTTCCAGGCGGTTCTAATAAGCCGTGACGCATGTAGATCATTGTTTTACATTTTCTAAATTAGCTAAATAATAGAAACTGGTCCATTGACTCTATATTCAAAACATCAGTGTATTTCCATGTCATTTGTCGACGGCAACTTGTCAATGGTAATGTAGTTTCAACGGAACAAGCTACGGAGGTTAAGATTGTGTGTGTGTTTTTTCTTGCTAAAACTAACATGGATTATTTTTAGTTTTTATTTGTGTATAACAGAACGGAGTGAGCAGTGGGTGGGGATATTGGAAAGGTGATTCAGTATTAGTCTAAACTGCAGTAATCTAACAAAACTTTGTAAATTGAGGATTCTAATATTGTTGATTACATAACTTTCAAACCACAGAAAATGCCACTTTGTAATAAAATCCATCAAGCTAGTTGCTAGCTCTCAAAACAGTTGCTTCTAACACTGCAAGTTTTTGCGTGTTGTGCTTGTTTTTTTTGCCCTCTGTCACTACTTTAGAATAGCTCTCTTGGTCAGAAAAGTCTAAAAAAAAGGACCACCCTCACTCAGCCAATCAGCTCTCAGCCCAAAGCCTCAAACAGTGACTCTCAGGGCTCTTACTCACTTTCTTTGCCTATTTTCTAAGATTAATATCATATGATTAAAGGTGCAGTAAGCTATTCGGTTAGCTTAGCCGTAGCACCAACTCAAAACCACTCCCCCCTCCCTTTGCCTCTCCACCAAAACAAACATCCAGCATTTTCGGACCAGGGCCTTTCTGAGTGGAGTTTGCATGTTCTCCCCGTGTCTGCGTAGGTTTCCTCCGGGTGCTCCGGTTTCCCCTACCACTAAAAATATGTACAATAGGTCTGGCATGTGCCTCCTGTACCGGCGACCCCGCTCCCATCTCTGTGTGGAGTGAGAGACAAATGCCCAAAATTAACAATTGTAAACCGCTTTGAGACTCAGATCTGCAGTGAAAAGGCGGTATATAAATAAATAAAAACTTACTAACTTACTTACATTTTCTTTTCTTTGTCACAACAGGGAGAGTGGCCGGCAAACGTGAAATTGGCATTTTCTGTTCAGCCACTTAAGGTTTTAGAAACTAATCCGATAACTCAGGTGGGCGCACTCGTGAAAAACAGGAAGAGGGTGAAGGGGATGAACGAATCCCATTGGTGTATTTTTATCGGCCTGCTCCAAAGTATTTTTTATTCATTTTTGGAGACTATAGACATCTGGTCAATTCCATTACTATTTGAAAACACATGATAACTTGACTACTTTTAGGGTTTAGGAACGTTTTCCCACAATATTTAGAAAAATACGTCTGGAAAAAAATCCCTGACTGCATCTTTAAGTACTAAAATATGTATATATTAATAAATGTCAGGGCCTTTGTAGATCTTACTTCTTACTCTTTCTTACATAGTTTTACATTGATATTTAGATTTCAAATGCACTAAACGTATAATATTAGGTGTCACTGGTGTCACAGATCATCAATATTTATATGACATATCTTTTAACCCTATCCAGCACCATTTTTTTCATCAAGTTGTTTATTTGTGCGTTTTCGGAGTTTGTCTTTCACGGGTGAGGGCGTCGTCTGCAGTTTGGTGAATATTTGCGTGTGCATCAATCACAGGAGCAGCTGCGGACAGGCCGTTTGTCTCTCTGACATGAGGCTCCCAGTGTTTTCACGCACACGCCACCAGAAAACAAGCGCAGATGCCTCAAAAGTACATCCAAATGATCTGTCAAAGCACGTCTCTGTTCAGTCGACAAACATGTGACATTCAAGTGACTATAGACAAAGGATATTATAGAAAATGCACAACTTTAACCATGTCGGAATTTTCTATAGAATGTATAATCCATGCCTTTGAGCTGTGCTAGGTCTTAGCCGCTCACATAGCATTGTGAAGTTTGAGTGATTAAAGCTGGGGTACCTGATTTTCAAACCACAAATGCTTGAACCATGCAATAAGATAAGATAAGATATCCTTTATTCGTCCCGCAGTGGGGAAATTTCAATGTTGCAGGGCACATACAGCATACAAGACAGTAGTGGGAGCAGACAGGGAGCACACAAAATATACAAGATAAGTAGCTGCTATGTTTCTTTGCTAGCTGTAAATGCTTCAAAATCAATCTTCTGAAATGTCTCACTATATATAGTGCAAAGTTGTATACATAATGGGAAGTATGAGTAGATAAAGTGACATTCAGCGGACATTCTGAAGTTGCAGTATTGCACATTGGACATGATCACAGTATTTACTTATTTACAGAATGACATGCTAGTGCTAGGGCCTAGCTCTACATCAGGTTGGCTATAGCACTAGTTTTCACCAGTGGGGACGGGTCCCAGCTCAAAAGTGGCCAAAATGACGTGCGCTGACATGCTGCAATACCACCCCGGGCCGATGGGGGTGGACCAGGATTAAGAATTAGCCAATGCTAACATATAGCATTGGCAGATTTCTCGAAAACGTCTTTACAGGATGGTCCAAAAGTTGGCTCTTGGCCCAAAGCTCCGTTCCACATGTGTGTCAATGCTGAGGGGGGTGAATTTTTTTGGACCAGTCTAGTTTACTCGTTGTGAATGTTTGAAGTCACTCGTTCAAATGAATGGGGCTCGGGCCGGCTGACGCATGCGCAGATGCTTTTTTTAAAAACATTTTCCAGCCCCCGCGGCCATTTTGAATCACTCCATGAAAGCCCAATTTTTGGCCCATTAGTTAGAACGGCGGAGATAGGAGTGACTATACGTCCGTTAATATATACAGTCTATGGTTTTCAAATGCATGTATTTCTGGCCTCTGTCGTGTTTTGTATTATATTTTTTTCCAAGCCATACAAAAATACATGTCAAATGAGCTTTGGGATCCGCTTCTATAATGTGTATCTTGTGTCTGCTTTTTTCAGATTCCATACGCAAACATGATAAGAAAAGAGAAGATTAGCTCACATTTGAGCAAGTGAAGCAAAGGTATGCACTTGTTTTTTTTGTTTCATTAGATAAGATGAAGTTTACAGCCTTAACATTTAAAATAATTATCCAAACAATAATTTTCTCCCATTTTTTTGTGTTTTACAGATTTCTGCCCGTTGATTTGAACAGAAAAGATTTTATATACGCTGTGAATATTCTTGTATAGAGCCTGGAGACTTACGGATGGATGGCGGCTTCGAGATTCAAAGTTTTACCAAAGCAGGACCAAAGTGATGCAGTTGAACACAGACGATGAAATAAACTCCACAAGGCGAGGAACTTTGGAAAAAAAAACTCGTATTTCCCTCGGACTGCTGCTAGCCCCGCCCTCCAGCATCGACAGGCCTTCGAATCAACTTTTGAGGATGAAAAATGACGCTGGAATGAAAAGCTGGTTGTAAACTGGTACGATTTCAACGTTTTGTGGCGTACTTACGGGAGAAAAAAAATTAAAAAACAGAAATTCACCTCAACCAAACAGTAAAAACTAAAGTCATATTGATTTCTGCTGTCTGTATGTGATTGTCTGATCCATGATATAAACTTTCTGATTTAAAAATGTTAAGTTAAAGTGAATGTCAGTTACTTTCCCACATTTTTAAGAAAGAGAGAAAATGGTTGAACTTGCCCATGCTCACCAACGCAGCTTCCTGATTGGACGAAACGAAACATTGGTTAAACTATTCTCCTCCTTGGTTTTGCCGATAGGAAGAACAATATTAAACTTTTTTATACTTAATTGACATGATGCCTTCAGGGTCATGTGATCAAAAAGATGCAATATTTTTTGTTATGAAATACATTTGAAGTTACTGACATCCCCTTTAATTGAGGGACACAAGCACTTAGAGAAGTTTACATTGAACCAAAACGACTCCTAAAATGCTGTTTATTTTATTTATTTTTTATACTTATTTCATTTTTGTATTATTATTTATTTCTGTGACATTGATTATCAGCGCAATGTTTCTTATTTCAAGCAAGAACGCTGAGTGTATTCTAAACATTTAACCCAATTAGCATTAATTAGATAACTATCGGAGTCATGTTTTGCTGTTTAGTCTGCAAAAAGTGACTTCAGATAGAAAGATTTGCCAATGGGAAGAGCAAACATAATTTATTTCAAAGTAGCCAGTGAGAAGAAGCTTTTCTGTCAAATTATTTAAAAAAATCTTGTGCCATTAGCAAATCCTTTTACGGACAGAATGTGCAGGATGAAGATCAAATTAACTTTAATGCAAGCAATTTTTGACTCTCAATTTTTTGTCATTTTTTGCAGCGTACAATACATTTTTGGTTAAATCCTAGCATAACTGAAGCCAAAAACTAAACAATATACAAACAGATGATATAACCACATATGCTAAAAGAAAGCTATTGACAGTTTGGTACAAAAGTAATGTCTAAGAATAACTTTCCTCTCACCTCAATTATGTCATTTTAAACCTTTCTTGTTTTTTTGTGGTGGCATTTTCAACAGTGTAACTAATGCTAGATCCCAGTGCATTCAGACGCATGAAGAAGACAGGAATGGGGTTGTTGGCTTAAATCTCGCCGTCCTACAGAGAAATAGAATGGTTTTTATCATTACAGCCAGTATTTTCTTAGTATTACCAGTGCATGTTTAAGCGACTCACGGCTTTATCTGTTTCAACTCTGTCACTGTTTGAATTTTGTACAATTGTATTTGTTGTAAATATTTCCGTGTACAAATTGTCTACTGTGAAACGAAACTCTGTCGACCGCTAAGTGTTACGGTGTTTGTTTATGTATTAGGGCCCGAAGCTTTGATGGTGAAGAATTATTTATGATTATTTATGGAATGAAAAAGACATGGTGCTGCTAATGATGTTAATAATGTGAATAAAGGTCAATAATATTTGCCCGAAAGAATAAAAAAAGAGAAATCCCAACATATATTTGGTTTTCTGACACATGCAGATGTACTATGTCCTTGTATTTTCTAATATTTATGTGGATTAATTAAATGTCTACTCTAGATACAGATTTCCTCATTTATTTACTGAACAATCTATTTATCATACATTATGGATTTGCGAAGAAAAGACAACACATGACAGCTCACAAGAAATGTATAGTTAGGTCTGAAGGTTTTTCCTGGAAGGTTCCACAGTAGGAAATTATACTGACGTCACAAGACATATATACAGAGAGAAAAACTGACCATGTAGGCAAGGCGAGGGAAGTAAAGTTTATTTGTATGGCACAGTTCTTACATTAGGCAACTCAAAGCGATTAACAAAATTAAGAAAATAAACTTTAAATCACATAAGACAAAGAAATGATAAATAATCACAGTACATAAAAAAATACTGTAGATACAAACCGTCAAACATTATTGTTTTTTTTAAACCTGGATTTAATCAGTGTAAGAAGTACTGTTGTGAAAAGTAAATAAATAATAGTGTAACAATATTCAGAATCAGTATGTTTCGCAGTAACACAATAGGGGAAATAGTAGGCTTATTGTATGGAAAGTGCTTTTAAGTGTATGTTGAAAATCAATGTATTGATGAGTGACATAAAATGAAATGAATAAACAAAATATAATAATGACCCAGAAAAACCAGTAGCCTAGTAAGAATATTTAATGCCATTGTGTGTGATATGAAAAAATCAGAAAGATGGAATTTATATTGAGATTCATTTACGTTAAAAAGAATAACTATAAGTAAACTTCAGTCTTCACGTCATTTTTCAGTGCTTTGTATCGGCTTCATTGTAGCATGCTGCTGTTTATATTGTCCTATAAATACATTTATTTCACTCATAAAATAAATAATGAAGCCTTTTGCCTTTGATAACGCGGTTGTTACGACAGTCAGTGCGGGTTGGTGGCTGGTAGCAGGAATGTTTCGGTTATTTGCGACAGCTCGTGCGGGTTTCCGGCAGTCTTCGTGTGAGTAGTGCAGTTTTCATCATGGCGTTCACTCTGTACACTCTGCTCCAGACCGCTCTGCTCTGCACGAACGCTGTGGCGGTTCTTCACGAAGAGAGGTTCCTCAGCAAGAGTGAGTCCTGCTGTTTTCATCCGGAATAAAGTTATGAATGAAGCGAGGCCCAAAGGTTCAGGCGTAGAGTCCTGTAGACATCTGCTGCTGCTGCTGATGTGGCTGCACTAGATCAGAGGAGACCGCTCTGTACGCCTCACATAAAAAGAGAAACATTGCGGTATTTTTTGGTTTTCTGTAAAATCAATGTTGTATTGAATTTACACAGATTTTTTTTTTTTTAAGACAATGCAAGTTTTTTCTCTATTGCAATTCTGTCCCCTTTTTTTGTATAGTCATAAATCACAGCAGTAGTTAGCTGTGCGAACAAAGTTGTCGATTCAGCAACACAGATTAGAGAATCAAACTATTTAAACACAGGAAATGCAACGATATTACGCAACATGAGGCAACCCATTCCATTCCATCTTCTTCCGCTTCATCCGTTGCCGGGTCGCGGGGGCAGCAGTCTAAGCAGAGACGCCCAGACTTCCCTATCCACACACACTTCCTACAGCTCGTCCGGGGGGACCCCAAGGCGTTCCCAGGCCAGCTGAGAGACATAGTCCCTCCAGCGTGTCCTGGGTCTTCCCCGGGGCCTCCTCCCGGTGGGACGTGCCCGGAACACCTCCCCAGGGAGGCGTCCGCAACAGATGCCCGAGCCACCTCAACTGGTTCCTCTCGACGTGAAGAAGCAGCCGCTCTACTCCGAGCTCCTTCCGTGTGACCGAGCTCCTCACCCTATCTCTAAGGGAGCGCCCAGCCACTCTGCGGAGGAAGCTCATTTGGACCGCTTGTATCCGCGATCTCGTTCTTTCGGTCATTACCCAAAGCTCATGACCATGAGGGCGGCACGGTGGCTGAGTGGATAGCACTCTCGCCTCTCAGCAAGAAGGTCCTGGGTTCGAATCCCGGTCGGACCAGGGACTTTCTGAGTGGAGTTTGCATGTTCTCCCCGTGTCTGCGTAGGTTTCCTCCGGGTACTCCGGTTTCCCCTACCACTAAAAATATGTCCAATAGATCTGGCATGTGCCTCCTGTACTGGCCACTCCGCTCCCATCTCTGTGTGGAGTGAGAGACAAATCCCCAAAAATTAACAATTGTAAACCGCTTTGAGACTCAGATCTGCAGTGAAAAGGCGGTATATAAATAAAAACTTACTTACTTACCATAGGTGAGGGAGGGAACGAAGATTGACCGGTAAATTGAGAGCTTTGCCTTTCGGCTCAGCTCCCTCTTTACCACAACGGTCCGATACAGCGACTGCATCACTGCGCATGCTGCACCGATCCGCCTGTCAATCTCACGCTCCATCCTCCCCTCACTCGTGAACAAGACCCCGAGATACTTGAACTCCTCCACTTGAGGAAGGACCTCTCCACCCACCTGAAGAGGGCAAGGCACCTTTTTCCGGTCGAGCACCATGGCCTAAGATTTGGAGGTGCTGATTCTCATCCCAGCCGCTTCACACTCGGCTGCAAACCGTCCCAGTGCATGTTGCAGGTCCTATGAGGCAACCCAAAGTGCTTTTCTTTGAGATTTCATCAGTCTTAAAATAATCTAAATTAATTATTCTCAATTAAAGATGTTCAAACAGTGGTAACTAACAATTGCTTTATTTGCACCAACAAATTTGACACAATTTTCTTCCTAGTGTTTATCAGTGATTTGTCTGATTGTGTTAGTTTAGCCAAATTCAGAAAGCTTCGTGTGGCAAGAAGGTTGTGGGTTAGATCTGTCTGTCGAGTTTGCTTGTTTATTTCTGTGTCTGGGTGGGTTTCCTCCATGCGCTCCGGTTTCCCCCGGACCAGTGTGAAGGTGGTGAGTGGAGTGAATGGTGACTTCAGTCTTTCGTTTTGTCTAAACTAAGGCCCTAACTCTAATCTGACTTCAGATTCATCTACAGAGTTATGCTGCACCTTGCTGTAAAGCTCAGGACCTTTGGAATCAGCTCATTAACTTTATTTGTTGATACTGATAATGATTTTGATGTCACAACATTCCATCTAAAGTATGGTGCTAATGTAGCTGTGGTTTTAATCTATATTTCAATTCCATTTCAAAGCCCAGAACAGCCCAAGTCCTTTTCTGGTGAACTAAAGGGGCCCTCTTAATAAAAGTCTGGACACCCTTGACTTCAACAAGCCTGTAAAGCTCACCACAAGGGCAAGGCATTATTATCATTATCATTCAATACCTATTATTATTGGTGTTACAAGCCATAGTAACTGTAATCTGATAATTGTGAGAAGTCTGGACATTACTATTGTGTCATTTTAACCTAATTACTTATTCTTCTAATCGTAGTTGTATGTAAGTAATGTCATATTTTTTCTTTTTGTTGATCTGTTGGCCCTTGTGTCGGCAGTCGGCTGGGGAGTGGAGCAGGGAGTCGGAGGCTTCGGAGATGATCCAGGAGTGAAAGCTCAAATCCTGAATCTGATCCGCTCTGTTCGGACAGTCATGAGAGGTACTTTTACACTGCTGTTGTCTCAATGTGAATTAAAAAGTGATGTAAAAAACACAAAATAAGAAGAAAATGTATATTATCAGAGCCTCATTTATATTTCTTATTTTTTAACTAGTTTGAGGCAGGCTAGCTACAAGCTAGAGAACCTGATGTTTCTCATTGATTCTTATATTTTGTGTCTGTTTATACATTTGTACATTTAGATAGAGATTCGAGTCCGCTGTTGTATCGGGTTGCATGTGACAAAATATGAACACTAAGAATTGTTGTTTATTCTCCGCAGTGCCGTTGATTATCGTGAATTCGGTTTCCATCGTCCTGTTGCTGCTGTTCGGTTGACAATTTTACAAAAACAGAGCCAGAAGATCAAGACGTGCTTCCATTAGAAAAGAGGAGAAACTTTGTCAGTGGGAAAAGGACTAAGGACGGCATATTTTGTACACTTTGGACTCTTGCCGTCGTCGTCTTGAAAATGTGTCAAATTTATTATCCAGATTTATTTTATTTTTTTTATAATTGTTTGACCAGTATTATTTTTTCATCAGAATAACACAATTGTGGGTATAACACAATACTGTAATGTCTGCTGAATATTGGTTGTTTTTATAATTATACTTACATTCTTTATTAAATATTTTCTACAACCGTAATAGCGTTTAAGTAATATAGTCAGAGAAGATGTTGTATGGATATTTTTGTTATGTTTGATACTGGGGCAATTGCAAAAATCAACACATTTGAATTGATCTCCCAGTTTTGTGTAATCCCCACATGTTAGAAACGCTCTACAAATATTTATTAATGTTGTAGAATGAAAGCTGAAGAGCAACAGGGGGTCAATCTGCTTGAATTAAAAGCATATGTTTATCAAAGAGATTACGGCACAAAGCTGCAATGATCTGCCAGTTTGGACGGCAACACAGAGGCTGCATCCAAATACCTACAACAACCCTCATTTCTAATCATTCCTTGTCTTTTGAGATATGACTTTTAAGGCCACAGCAGCTCCATGTTTGGTAAAGTTAGAGTTTTAACAAGTTTTGAAGACTTTTGAAATGCCAGTTGGGTACAATTTGTATGCCAGAAATGACAAGGAGAAGAGTAAGGAAGCATTAATTTTTAGAAATTTGAATGCAGCCAAATACTTCAACTTGTCTGACATTATGAAGAAAATAAAAATATTTACTAAACGACAAGACTTCATTCAAATGTACATATTTTGTTATTTTATGATGCCCTCAATATGTATCGGATTTACTTTAAAAAAAAAAAAACTTCCTTGTGTGGCCATCAAGACGTGTCATTTTTCGGCTTATTTTTTCTAATAAGCCATGTTTTTTTTTTTAAGACAGTATTGCATTACGGTGATTCGACATGGGCCGTTTTTCAGCTTTAAATCACTGGAAATTCAACAACCACAGAAAAGTTTTGAGAGGGTACTTGTAATTGGGAATCTTAAAGCTTGGGTACCTATTTTCCATTAACAAAAGTGTAATGTAAAAGAAAAAATGTGATAAATTCAGACTACAATATGCTGAGTTTGTGTGACGCTGTAAGCTGATTGGCTGAGTGAGGGTGGTCCTCTTTCTCACTTTTCTGAAAAAGCTGATGACCACTAACTGACAAAAATACATGAACGTGAAAACTTTTCAGCAGTTACATGAATGTCACGATGTAATACAGTTCTAGATACCTCAACTTTGATTTATACAGAGCTTTTCAATGAATTCTGCGATTTTGTGTATTGTTTGAAACTTAGTTGGGTAATTTGGGATCTTTTTTTCTGATTGAATTAAGTTTATTAATTTAAGTCTCTATTAAAACATGAAAATATTTGGTACTTTTACAGGAGCATTTCTGTTGAGACAAACAAAGTGTATCATTCATGAAACAAAATCTTAAACTCTACAAACCCTAAGATATGGATGTATAGACTATACATTATACATATATTTTTTTAATTTACCATAGGTTCATATGAAATGATGATCTAAAAAGCCTATTGCAATAACAGTCATTTGAGTACATGCTTGACCACTTAAAATGATTGAAGTATACATATTTTGCAGTGCCACTACAAAAGTATCTTTAGGGGAAAAACAGAAAAAACAGATTAAAACGTTATTTTTTTTGCAGAGTTCACAGTGCATAATATTTTCTCCCGAGCTAAAGTCCATGTTGTGTTATTCATGTGGAGAATCACAAAGAGGATTGGCCCTGTGTTGTCTGGCTTTCAAATCGCCCATGTTAAATCTATCTGCCCTAAGAGCCGGTAATGCCGCACATCTGCTGCTGATTAGTGCAATAGAACACATATGCTTTTATCATTGCTACTTCTATAAAGAATGATCCATAACCCTCTTATCTGAGCAGACCTTTGAACCCAAAAATGCACTGAAAGCAACAGTAAATTATTATTTTTTTGTATCCTTTCTAAAAAACAAAAACAAGGACTTATTATTATTATTAATGTAATTGTATTTATTATCATTTTATTGTATTATTACTACATATTGCACCATTATATTGATTATTATTGTGTATTCATTTAATAATTTATTACCATTGATATTGTAAATCTATCATTATTATTATTATTATTTTCTTTTCATTATTGCGTGATTCCATCTTAGATGCCTAGGGGGCGTTTCAAGACGGTGGTACTTCCTAATCCGGGCACCAAAGAAGAAAATGTAAACAGGAAGTGAGCAGAGGTCTGCTCAGGGTCTGCTGCAGTGACTCAAGGTGGGTAGATTTGATTGTTTTTTGAGCACAAGTTTGGCCTGAGTAATGTTTATTTTCAATAATTGTGGGGATAGTATTACTAAAATCAATGAATCATTCTGTCTTCTGCCTTCAAGTTTACAAAACTGTGTGTGCAAAATGATGAACTGCTATCCATCAATGGTTACTGCTGCTGATACTACTACTACTACTACTACTACTAACTTACTACTACTAGTACTACTAACTTACTACTACTACTTCTACTGCTGCTGATCATTTTGCTACTACTTGAATTGCTAATATTATTACCACTGCTGATATGGCTTCTTTTGCTAATACTAACTTACTACTACTGCTACTACTAACTTACTACTACTACTACTGCTACTACTATTAACTTACTGCTACTAACTTACTACAACTACTACTATTAACTTACTACTACTACTACTGCTACTACTACTACTACTACTACTACTACTAACTTACTACTACTACTACTGCTGCTACTAACTTACTGCTACTACTACTACTACTAACTTACTACTACTACTACTGCTACTACTACTGCTACTACTACTGCTACTACTAACTTACTACTAACTTTCTACTACTACTGCTACTAGTATTAACTTACTGCTACTAATAACTTACTACTACTACTACTATTAACTTATTACTACTACTAACTTACTACTACTATTACTACTGCTACTACTGCTACTACTAACTTACTACTACTACTAACTTACTACTACTACTAACTTACTACTACTACTAACTTACTACTACTACTATTAACGTACTACTTCTACTACTAACGTACTACTATTAACTTACTACTACTACTACTACTACTATTAACTTACTACTACTTCTACTTTACCTACTACCACTACCACAACTGCTGCTGCTGCTGCTAACACGACTGAAGCCTAAATATCATTATAAGATGTGTCTGGGGGTATGTAATAGATTAGGAAGAATCAAAATGACCAAAAGTATGCAACGTTTGAAAAAAACCACACAGAATATTGATGGAAAAGTACTAGGTTCGTTCTTGTTGAATTGTTAAACAGAAATCCATCTCCTAGTTCTGATGATATTTCACCTTAGAAAACTGTGGATTTTAAAATGAAATTACAACCTGAGTCCTGCGTAGCGTGGCCTTGGTTCTGGTTCTGTAGCCTGAGTCCTGGATCTATAGCCCGTCCGTCTGTGGGAGCGGATTCCTCTCTCAATGTGGTTTCCCTGGAGGTATTTTTATTCCCACTAGAGTTTTAGAGGGCCTAACAAGAAGAACTGTGGTGATGATTGATAATGAACATTTATGGATATTTATAAACACTTATGTATTGGTCCATATGCAGAGTTCAATGTCCATATGTGTTCTCTATTCTTTGTGTCTTAACTGTTGATTCTCTAATTTGTGTTGGCGAATTCAACAGTTTTGTTAAGTCCTCTGAGATAACTACTGCTGTGATTTAGGGCTATACAAAAAAATAAAAAATTGAAAGAAGAATTTGCATTTAGGGGCCCTTGATCTTGTTCCTGAGGTCATACCAGCCTACATCGGAACCAGGACAACTAAAGTGCTCCCAGAAATCCAAGCTTGTCTAAATAATAGAGGATTGTACAACCAAACATCAAACGCCAATAAATATGATCCCCAAATCTGTATTCTAGTCCAACCTTTGAATAATCCTCCTCTCAGATTGTGCCCGACACAATAATCTGATAAATTTACCCATGTGAACTATGATTATGGACCTTTATCTATGAGGGAATGAAGTTATTATGAAAGATCAACAGCTTTTTAAAAAACCAGCCAAAGCTCCATTTACAGTGGTTCTACAAAGAGCTTTATCAAATGTGTATCAACATTTCAATTCATTTTTCATACTTTTCCCTGTAGTTTATAACATACATGAATAAGGTAAATGCACGTTTATGGACATATAGGACGTTTATGGACATATAGGTTGTTTATGGACATTTACGACGTTTATGGACATATAGGTTGTTTATGGACATTTACGACGTTTATGGACGTATAGGGCGTTTATGGACATATCTTCGCTCCTCATCTGCTGCTCTTCTCACTGTCCCATAGACCAGGGGTTCCCAAAGTTTTTAGCCCGCGACCCCCATCATAAATGCCCTGGTAACCCGCGACCCCCCCCCCCCCCCCCCCCCAACAGCCTTTTCGTCACATGAAAGGAGCATGTATTTCCTTGATACGGAGTAACGCTTTCTAGAGACTCACGCCACTACCGAGCTGCACTGTCCAGCCCAAAAAAGGAGGCTTGCATATTTTTACTCATGTAGTGACAGTGATGGGCTTGGTGGACTCCCTCCTCAGCAGAAGTGGAGCGCATTTCTTGCGGCTCGCCCTCACTGTTCTCCTACCGCGGTAAAGTGGGCCGGCTTTCCGGAGTCAGCGGTAAAGAGGTCCGCACATTAAAAGCGGGCGGCCGCTTTCTGCTGTTACTTTATGCGGTTCATCCCCGCGGCTTCTCTTTCCAAAGTCACTGTCAGTAAAGGCATAAACCGGCCACCCGCTTTTAATGTGCGGACCTCTTTACCTTTGACTCCGAAAAGCCGGGCCTCTTTAACGCGCTGTTCTACCGCTGCCCTCCCTCCCTCCGCTGCCCTCTCTCTCTCTCCGCTGCCCTCTCTCCCTCCTCTGCCCTCTCTCCCTCCTTTGCCCTCTCTCCCTCCTCTGCCCTCTCTCCCTCCTCTGCCCTCTCTCCCTCCTTTGCCCTCTCTCCCTCCTTTGCACTCTCTCTCTCCGCTGCCCTCTCTCCCTCCTCTGCCCTCTCTCCCTCCTTTGCCCTCTCTCCCTCCTCTGCCCTCTCTCCCTCCTCTGCCCTCTCTCCCTCCTTTGCCCTCTCTCCCTCCTCTGCCCTCTCTCCCTCCTCTGCCCTCTCTCCCTCCTTTGCCCTCTCTCCCTCCTTTGCACTCTCTCTCTCCGCTGCCCTCTCTCCCTCCTCTGCCCTCTCTCCCTCCTTTGCCCTCTCTCCCTCTCTTCGCACCATCAGCCCCTGATACAAGTGACTTTTCTCCCCCTCCGGGTTTTTCTGTTGTGGATATTAACCACGTTTCATTTTAAAGCAGGTATTATTTATTTGTAGCCTCCAAACACCTTTAGTTTTAGCAAACAACAGCAGGACACGCTTTGTCGCTGCGCATGATGTGAGCTGTGTTACGTCAGTGGTTCCCAAAGTGGGGGTCCCGACCCCCCGGGGGGTCGCGGGAACCCCTGGGGGGGTCGCAAGATGATTTCCACACAAACAAACAAAAAAGATTTTTTTTTTTGAGCAAATATAAAGTCCTTAAATATTTATTTAGCATTTGATTTGATTCAAAAGGACTACTTGTTAAATTGTGTTTGGAGACTATAATATATTTTAATAACGTTAGTAATTTTGTCCCAGTCATTGCAGCGTCAATCAAAATCATCACGTAACACAGCTCACATCATGCGCAGCGACAAAGCGTGTCCTGCTGTTGTTTGCTAAAACTAAAGGTGTTTGGAGGCTACAAATAAATAATACCTGCTTTAAAATGAAACGTGGTTAATATCCACAACAGAAAAACCCGGAGGGGGAGAAAAGACACTTGTATCAGGGGTCAGGCTGATGGTGCGAAGAGAGGGAGAGAGGGCAAAGGAGGGAGAGAGGGCAGCGGAGGGAGAGAGGGCAGAGGAGGGAGAGAGGGCAGAGGAGGGAGAGAGGGCAGAGGAGGGAGAGAGGGCAGAGGAGGGAGAGAGGGCAGAGGAGGGAGAGAGGGCAGAGGAGGGAGAGAGGGCAGAGGAGGGAGAGAGGGCAGCGGAGAGAGAGAGTGCAAAGGAGGGAGAGAGGGCAGCGGAGGGAGAGAGGGCAGCGGAGGGAGAGAGGGCAGCGGAGGGAGGGAGGGCAAAGGAGGGAGAGAGGGCAGAGGGAGGGAGGGAGGGCAAAGGAGGGAGAGAGGGCAGCGGAGGGAGGGAGGGCAAAGGAGGGAGAGAGGGCAAAGGAGGGAGAGAGGGCAGCGGAGGGAGGGAGGGCAAAGGAGGGAGAGAGGGCAGAGGAGGGAGAGAGGGCAGCGGTAGAACAGCGCGTTAAAGAGGCCCGGCTTTTCGGAGTCAAAGGTAAAGAGGTCCGCACATTAAAAGCGGGTGGCCGGTTTATGCCTTTACTGACAGTGACTTTGGAAAGAGAAGCCGCGGGGATGAACCGCATAAAGTAACAGCAGAAAGCGGCCGCCCGCTTTTAATGTGCGGACCTCTTTACCGCTGACTCCGGAAAGCCGGCCCACTTTACCGCGGTAGGAGAACAGTGAGGGCGAGCCGCAAGAAATGCGCTCCACTTCTGCTGAGGAAGGAGCCCACCAAGCCCATCACTGTGTCACTACATGAGTAAAAATATGCAAGCCTCCTTTTTTGGGCTGGACAGTGCAGCTCGGTAGTGGCGTGAGTCTCTAGAAAGCGTTACTCCGTATCAAGGAAATACATGCTCATTTCATGTGACGGAAGGGCTGTTGGGGGTTACCAGGGCATTTATGATGGGGGTCGCGGGCTAAAAACGTTGGGAACCCCTGTGTTACGTGATGATTTTGATTGACGCTGCAATGACTGGGACAAAATTACTAACGTTATTAAAATATATTATAGTCTCCAAACACAATTTAACAAGTAGTCCTTTTGAATCAAATCAAATGCTAAATAAATATTTAAGGGCTTTATATTTGCTTATATATTTTGCTTTTTTGAGCAAAAAAAATCTTTTTTTTTTGTGTGGAAATCATCTTGCGACCCCCCCAGGGGTTCCCGCGACCCCCCGGGGGGTCGGGACCCCCACTTTGGGAACCACTGCCATAGACTGTAAATATTTCTATTCTCACAGTCAAAATGGCCACAAAAGCATTCAGCCATTCTGCCCCAAACTCTGGAACACTCTGATTCACCTGCGACATTTTCAGCTCAGCTCACAGCTCAAAACCTACCTTTTTCAATTGGCCAATTCACTGTAATATTTTAAACATATTTTATTCTGTATATTTTTTATTTTCTATTGGAAGACATCCATATGTGTCTTAAAAGGTGCCATTAAATGAAATGAATTATTATTATTATTATTATTATTATATATAGTATTGTATACTATATATAATTAAAAGCAAAAACATGTGAACTGTTTTTAAACTACCATACTAGTTTGTTGTTTTGCCGTATTAAAACATATTTAGATGTTATTACCTAGGTTGGGAACTAGTCTAGAACCATTTTTTGTTTGAATTGTATTTTATTTTGAAATTTAATTTCCCAACTAATATTTTAAACTGAAAACTGGCACTCAAAATATGTTCTAGTTCAAGCTATGGTACCCAACCTTGTGTCTTGTAAAAGTAAAATGTGAACAAATCAAACCACAACATACTGCCCCAAATTAGAACCCTTTTTTATCTTTTGATTACTCGAGTATTCAAAATAATAATAATAATGATAATACATTGTATTTATAGTTTACATTTCAACGAAATCTCAGAGTGCTACAGAACAGGGAACATCCCCAAGATACAAATTTACAATACATCAAATAGACACCATCATGAAACATAAAAACATAAATACTGTACACTTCTAGAAGGCCTGTTTGAATAAAAATGTCTTAAGGCCTTTCTTGAAAGCCTCAGCACTTTGTGGGGCCCTGAGGGTCTCTAGGAGGGCATTCCAGAGCAGGGGGGCTACTGCCTGAAAGGCCCTGTCTCCCATGGTGGAGAGTTTGGTCCTGGGTTGGTGCAGGCAGAGAGAGAAGGTGGTCTGCGACTTCGAGAGGCGGTGTGTGATGTTAGGAGTTTGCTGAGGTAGGCAGGGGCAGTTCCGTGTGTGCATTGATACAGTATGTGAGGAGGCAGCGTTTGTACTGTATTCTTTGTTTGATGGGCAGCCAGTGGAGTGATTTGAAGACGGGTGTGATATGGTCAACATGCCCCACTGTTGGTTTTGGTCTTGTAGCATGAGATCGAGACATTCGATTATTTTAATGTATTTTATTCATTTTTCAGCCGTATCGCTTGAGCTTAGAAACCCACATAGAACTGGATCTTTCTGGTCATGTCGGGCCGTCCCCGGAGCTCAGGACGCTCTCAGAAAGTAAGGGAACATGAGAAAATGAGAAAATACCAATATCAGATTCAGATTCATTTTATTTGGCATTTGCAGTAAAACCACATTGGAATAAATTTGCTAAATCTCCCAGAGTGCACAAGATAAGTACATAAATAAATAAAAAGTCAAAAGTTCTGGAAACGATTTACACTGAATTGTATTGTAAAAACAGTTAAATACAAGTACAAGCTCATTAAAGTGCTTTGTTAAAACTGATAACAGCTTGTGGAAAGAAAGAAAAGCAAGATGTCTTGCAGCTCAACGAATGATATCTTCTGCCAGAGGGAAGAAGCTGGAACATAGGTTTTCCTCTCTCTGGTCTCTCTTTGGCCTCTCTCTGGCCTCTCTCGGGTCTCTCTCTGGTCTCTCTCTGGTCTCACTCTGGTCTCACTCTGGTCTCACTCTGGTCTCTCTCTGGTCTCCCTCTCTCTCTGGCCTCTCTCTGGTCTCACAGCTGACAGTCCTCTTTAAGAGCGGAGCACCTTGTTTAGAGCTCTCCTTTCTTTGTCTGCGATGTCACCAAACCACACAATCACAAAACCAACAAGCAAACTTTCAATGGTGCAGCGATAAACGTTGATCTTAGAGTTTGACGAGCTTTCTTAAGTAAGTAGGAAGTAAGTAATGTTTATTTATTTTGCGCATTTTACTTACCAAGGTCACACCAAGCGCTTTACAATTGCTTAGAGTTCAGTTTTCCATTCTCTCCACACACGGCGATGACGGACGTGAGTCGCCGAACACACTGGCGCGTCAAAGCCTCCGACCAAACACCATCCATTCATTCATTCACTCATTACATTCAGACCTATTCTTATCCTGATTAGTATTTTTTTCCTCCATATATCTTGTTAATGTTTGAACTCCTCGTTGAAGGTTACGGCAAGCATCAGTCGCCATCAAGTTTGTGACCAACACGACGAAAGAGAGTAAGAGGAACCTGCTGGAGAGACTGCAGCGCCTCCACTTTGAGCTGCAGGTAAAAACACCAGACTTTCACTGATCCTCCAGCTGGATCCAAATTATCCATTGCAAAACTAAGGGTTTGGAAAGATGGATAATAAAGGTGTACTAGGTCCCTGACTTGATTTCAATTTAATTTTACAATTAACTTGTATTGATCACAGGAGATTGATTTGGTATTTGGCAACCATGGCATGATATACATCATTGTAAAGCAACTTCATCAATAATTGTATTCTAAAAATACATCTCTAATAATTAGTTCTGGTTGAATAAAAAAAAAAACATACTGGCATGAAAGTCTGCAATAATTCTTTTGGAGCAGAAAACTGGCTAAATGACCTTTGCTCCTTGAATAAGAGTACAGAAAAAATAAACGTTTTGGATGTTTTAAATTTATTTGGCCTTCGACAAAAATTACTTTACGGATGAGTTTACGGATGGCTACTCTTGAGCTAGAGAAATGCCTTCTATATCGCCAGTAGCCGATACGGACACAGACATTAGACAACATCATAAATAGTGAAAATCCTTCAAATAACCGTAAGCGTGTTCATTGTACAAGCTGACAGCAGCAGGGATGAAAGGTCTCCTAAAGCAGCGTGCGGGTTGTGAATGAGCCACTGCTTTACAGGCGTCCTTTGGCACAGGCAAATTTCCAGTGTTGCATCACAGGTTACAGAACAGTAAGAGGAAATGAGGAGCACACAACACAAGATAATCAAGTAAAGCACAACTTTGTACTTGAAAAATAAAATAAAAACATAAGCATACAAATATAACATAACATATAAAGTATAACACGTTTTACTCTAGTAAAAAAGTTTAAATAATAAATTAAAGTTCACTCTGAATGTTTGGTTTTAAACACCAAAGTATAAATCTATAGATACATTTATAATACACTCTTGTGCAAAGAATATTTAAGTGATCTTCAAGAATAAATGATTAGCTCTGTAGGTTTAAATATTCAGTGATGATACTGTGAGGATGGATGTCGTTCAAAATGTCTTTAACCTTTAGTCATGAATAATCAAGACAGTCGTCTCAATCATCTTATCTTCGATGAGATGTGTACTTTAACTTGTGATTATGAATATGGTATTAGATATTATTACATTGAGCAATAAAAAAATACTCCAGGCTGTTTTCCTCACCAACATGAAATCCATGTTATATAATCCAAAAAAGTGTCACCGTCTGCTTTAGGATGGCACTGGCACTTTGCTCTCTCTTATCCCTATAAAAGACCCATTCCCATAGACAGGTTGTGTCTCTTGCCCTCTGGTGGTGAGGTTGTGTGGTTGACCGAGGGACCTGTTGAATGAGGGGCCGATCCAAAAAATATCCAAAAATTAAAAAAAAAAATATATATCGGGCGGCACGGTGGCTGAGTGGATAGCACTCTCGCCTCTCAGCAAGAAGGTTCTGGGTTCGAATCCCGGCCGGAACAGGGTCTTTCTGAGTGGAGTTTGCATGTTCTACCCGTGTCTGCGTAGGTTTCCTCTACCACTAAAAACATGCACACTAGGTTAAATCCTCCAGCTCTGGTAGTCCTGACCAAGCTGAGCATCAACATCTGGAGATGGGTTCCCGGGCACTGTTACCACGGCGACCACTGCTCCTGACGTAAGCCTTTGCGGCATCAGGATGGGTCAAATGCAGAGGATTGAATTGCCCTACGGGGATTAATAAAGTGCACCTTTACCTTTTACCTTTTATAAAATAATCGTGGCACATCAGAACAAGTGAAGATAGAATCCTTAATATGTATACACAGCAAAACAGACCTATTTTCAAGCTGGATTAGGGTAAAAGAGCCACAAGACTGAAATTGGTTAGCTTCAGATTTCAGAATAGATTTCGATTCATCTCCCTTGTCTGTATAAACCATTGTTTTTCATACTGAGAGCAGTTTAGTTCAGATTTCATTTTACACACACTCTCATCTCTCACGACCCTTTGATCCGCTCCTCTGTGTTACCCCAGTGTAACACGAGTCTCCTCCACAGGAAAAGGAGGTGTTCACTTCGCTCACAGCAGCGAGGAGTGTCCTGGAGCAGAGGCAGCTCCGGCCTCTGCTGCTGCTGGAGGAGAGCGCACTGGAGGATTTCACCGGTACAATATAGTCTACATTATATAGTATAGGCTCCATATTTGAATAGTCAGGCTAACTCTAATGAAAAGAGCCCATTCTTACTGTGCCATTACATATGACTAGCTTGGAAGATAGAGATTTTTTTTTGGACACACTTTTAACATATTTTTCCCCAAACCAGAGTTGAGTTATGAAAAATACCTCACACAAAGTGAGGGATATTCCTTACAATTGATCAAAATCACCAAAACCAAAAATACTATAGTCCTTGTCCTTTCACTGGTTTCAAGGTTGGAAAAGAAATACATAAACATTTCTTTCTAAAACAGATTTTCACCCTCTTCCGTTGCAGGGATAGATACGTCTGAGCCCAATGCTGTTGTTATCGGACTGGCCCCGGATTGTTTTAACTATGAGACGATGAACAAGGCCTTCAGGTGAAAATGGGATCATTTATAAGAAAAAACAAACATGGATAAATAAAAAGCTTCAATGTGTATGGAAAACTTTGCAGGATGATTTTAGACGGAGCTCCCCTCATTGCCGTCCACAAAGCCCGTTACTATAAGCGCAAAGATGGTTTAGCGCTGGGTCCCGGGCCTTTTGTGACCGGCCTGGAGTACGCCACCGACTGCAAAGCGACCGTCGTGGGGAAGCCAGAAGAAACGTTTTTTAATCAGGTGCATTTTAAAATATGTTAGACTTCCAACCTGTTTCCTTACACGAGATTTGTTCACTTTTAACCATGTTACAACATTGTTTCTTATCAAAAAACGAACTGGATTTGTTTAATTCATCCACCCTAATATCAAGAACTTTTGGCTTAAACATGTAACTCCGCCCCTTCTGCCTTAAAGCTCCAGCCTCAGTCCTATAATGGTACGATGACCATGCTCAGAGCATTGCTGAGCATGGTCATGGTCACATAGTATTGCCCATAAATTAGTTTTGCGCATGTCTGTGTTTGCAGCTAATAATTTTCAAATTTGGAAAAAGCAAACAAATCCTCCTCCCCCTGTTTGTAGCACAGGGAGTTACAGGTGGAAAGGATTTTTTTCCTCTTTAGTTGTTTCACAATATACATATAATCTATAAGATGAAATCTTATAGATAGGACTATCATAATTATAAAGGTAAAAAATAATGCTTAATATTTGTACTTTAAAACACCTGTCTCTATATTAGTTACGCAAATAAATTGCTACAACTATAACTGAGTAATCTATTAACCTTTTTATCTGGTTACTCAAGGCAAAGGAATTGTAATTTTATTGTAATGAATGAATGAATGTAATGTGATGAATTTGATGTATCATTTCAGTCCTACAAACGGCTGACGCTGTCGTTTTGTCCTGGATAAGCGCGTACAAGTACAAATCAATACAGAAAGATGGTTATTTTATATCTATTGTCAGGAAAAAATAAAATCTTCCACTTCCACACTGTGCTTTTGAATGATTTCTATGGATTGCATATTTGCTAATACTAGTTACCTCTGGACAGGCTCTTTCTGATCTGGGCTGCAGTGCCAGTGAGGCTGTCATGATTGGAGACGTAAGTGTGGATCTTATCTGAGAGCAGGTACTTTTCCAGCAGGCTGGAGGTGCCTTTCTTTAGTCACTTTTTGTTCTTTCAATTTTAGAATTTTCCTCCCTCTGACTGTTTTGTTGTTAAAATAGCATTTTGTCTATATTTCAGAGGTACACTATATCAGAATCAGAATATTTTTTATTGCCACGTAAGTAACAGGAAGTCACAGACTTGGAAATTATATATACCATAAGATCTAATGTTTCGGGTATCGCAGCCACCATTTACATAACCATTCAATTCAATGTGTTTATGTATAGCCCTAAATCATGACAGAATTCGCCGACAACTTATTAATGAATCAAAGTGACTGGTAAAAGTTGGGGTGAAAATCTTTAGACTAGCGCCTCCCAAAATATCTGATCCTTAAAAAGTAGCTGATCCAAACTTTTATCTTATTCAAAATAGAAACCTCTGGATGCAAGTGGATTAACAGATGCAGGTTTTGTGCTGGGAGCAAAATTGGTGTAAATGTCATGTTTGTGATGTTTTCTTCCACAGGACGCCAGAGATGATGTTGGTGGAGCTCAGAATGCAGGAATGTTGGGTATTCTTGTTAAAACCGGTGCGTAAAGAAGCCACTTGAAGTCCAATTGTAATACTTATTGGAGGTGAAAAGTACAAAGATAACAGCTGTCCTTTTTTGTCTCAAAGGCAAATACAGAGACGGAGACGAACTCAAGATCAGCCCCCCGCCACACCTGACCTGTGGCAGTTTTCCAGACGCAGTAGAACACATCCTGAACCAGCTGCTCTGACCTTACGGTAACATGTCAACTTTTTTATATTAGCCCATTCAATATTCAGAAGTAATATACTCCTGTAACTTAGCGTCCAATGTATCTTTAAATGAGCTGAAGGCACCATATTTGACTTTTCATTTTCTCATTTGTGGCTTCAAAACTTCAAAGTCCTTTAAGTTGTACATTTTTCACTGGCACCAACTTAACATCACAGAGACATTTTGAAGTGTTTAGAACAAAGTGTAGGATTTGTAGTTTCACTGGATCTAGAGAAGTCTTGAAACCTGACTTTTAGACCATTAATAAGTCTACATATATAAATAAGTGGAAAGCAAAGAGGAAAAGGTCAGGGGCACTCTGACTTTAAGTAAAAATCATCAAGGAAAGTTATGCCAAGTGGTTACAGGTGGTAATAATGAGAATGGCAAATCACATACAGAATGATGACTTTTAAATTAAAGAAAAAGCATAAATAAAACAGTATAGAAAAACACATACATGAATAAACTCCATAAAAACAACATGTCATGTAATGGGGGACCCCCTTGTGGACAACACACACACACACATAGGCGCACACACACATTCATACTGCATAGGCTAAAAGGCTCTGGCCCAAGAGAGAAATTTAATTGGAGAGCCAGAAAAACAAATTCTCAGGCTACAAATTTTACATACATATTATTTAAACTCTAAAACAACCACAATGACAATCCAATCCTAAATGACAAATCAATATATACATGTTTTGTGAATAGCTTTTAATTTTTGTAAATTTTTAAAACATACTAAAGTGACATTATGGCTCTCCTTCTGCAGTTCTTACATGTAAATGAGGTAATGTTACATACTGTACATTCATCACTGATTGGCTCTGGCTCCTGTCCTGGTCCTCACACGGCCTTGTACTGTGTTTCCCAGGCGCTGTATCTGTCCATGAGGCTCCGGGCCGAGGGCTTCGTCTGACCGATCACCTCCATGAAATCACAGGTGGTCACAGTTTCCAGGCGCAGAGAAGGCGTGTCCATTTCACCTGCAGAGGAACCAGTGTTTTTTTATTATTGTTTATATATTCTGTGTTCACTCCCTCTCTCTCCATTTGGAAATATGTGGCTGCTAAGTGATCACAGGAGCACTGGACTTCTGGATCCAGGCTTAAAGACCTTATGACGGGTTTGATTTATTTAGAAATACAGTTTTAATACCATTTTATATTAGAAGAGAACTACTAAAGGTTTCAAAATCAGTTGTTGTTTTTTTTGTCTGATCCCCCCAAATCGAAATAACCCCATAGTAACGCCCTTAGAAACGAAAAAACTTCCCAGCCCTTGGTGACGTCAGAGTGGGTACGTTTCAACGCTGTAAGTTGTTTACAATTTGGTATTCGTTCTTTTTTCGCGGATATTCAAGATGACAAGGCCGTGTACAGCGAGTATGAGATAACTACTAGAAAACGTTATTTTGTTGTCACTGAGATAGTCCAGTGGTTGTGTCAATGGACTGCCAATCCAGATACTGGGGTTCAAATCCCACCTAGGACATTTTTTCACACTCAAAACGGCAATTTATGTGTAATGAGCAAATGTCACCTGTAGAGGGCAGTATTGTGTTGGGCATCAGTGGAGAGAAGAGAGAAAAGGCAGTCCTGTGGCATAGATCCATGGTTTTCAATGCATGGGCGTGACCCGCTGTGACGTCACACACAAGTTAGAGCATAGACAACTTAAATTCATGAAAAACACGTTCTTTTTATAAAATATAGGATTTTTTTTGCCGGAATCTCTTTCAAATTGACATTGTCATGCAATTTTGATATCCACTATTTTTTTAAAAAAAACCCGTCATAAGGTCTTTAAGCTAATTGTAAATGTTACCTAATTTATAATGTCATGACCACTTCTACATACATTTTTCATCCTCTTTTTTTGTTTTCAGGGATGTGGACAATAACAGTGCTAAATCAAACAGCTGTTAGCATACCATTAAAGCCTGGTTCTGAACTTTTTATTTTCATATTTAATACCTTTTTGTTTAATAATAATAATAATAATAATAATTAATAATGATGAGGATGTTTGTTCCAACAGAAAGAGTCTTGTAAAAGTAAAACTAATCCGACCACATCATATTACTAAAACCATGTTATTTTTTGCATACTTTTAAGAAGGAGCCCTGTGAGTCACTTATAGACGCTTGAGGGTGAAAGGGTGGTCGTCTCTTTTCCAATTTACTGTCTGAAAAAGCAGATCTAAAGATGTGGCAAACGAACCAACCTGTATTTGTAGCAGGAACCCCAGCTTTAAGATAAGCATGGAGGGAATCTTATCCATTCAAGGCACTTAGTTTACTTTGCATCCAACACCCGATTGTATGTCTAACAGAACATATCTCTGGCATAACATCACACTAATGTAAGAAAGTAAGAAAGGAAACTCCACCATGTTTTGTGTATCTTCTGATTTTATAGTTCATATTTTTGAAACTATTTAGTCTGACTATTTACATGAAACACAAACATGTACAGAGTTCAACTTCTGTCGATAAATACATTGATTCGTATTGTGCTGTATAATGAAAATGCCTATTCAGAAGTTAAGTAATGTATATTTATATAGTGCAATAAATACAGACCAAGGTCACCCAAAGCGCTTTATGATGTTCAGAGTTTAAAGCGCTTTATGATGTTCAGAGTTTAAAGCGCTTTATGATGTTCAGAGTTTAGATATTGTTCCATTCTCTCCACTAACGAGGACAGAAGCGAGACTCCGTGCACCCGGAGGAAAAATACACAGACACAGAGAGACCAGAAAGGCCTGGAGAGATCAAACTCAGGACCTTCTTGCTGTGAAACACAAGCTCTTACCTCTGCACCACCGGGACGCCCTGAAACATTGTGGATACAATTGTCAGGAAATTATGAGACGGTGCAGATTTTAAGGTTTGAAGGCTCTTTCTAACAAAACCTATTGAACGAACAAACATTCGCATCAGGTGTTTTACCGTTTTGAAGAGACTCCAGGGCGTTAAAGATCTTCCTCACAGGTCTCATCGCGGCTTCTTTACAAACCAGAGTGACGTCAGAGCCAGAGTAACCCTCCATCGCCTGCAAAACAAAACAACAATACCTGCATCTATTTCTAAATTTTTGCTGAGAAATGGATACACGATTATACCATAGATGTAGCAATATAGAATTAGCAAGACTTGAACAAGGTTGAGCGTCAGAGAACATGTGGTGTGTGTGTCTGACCTTGGCCAGTGCTTCATAGTCGAGCTCCGTGGTCAGTTCCACTCCTCCCTCTGTGACGCTCACTGGAGGCAACCAGTGCGAGACCATGGCCTGTCGAGCCGGCGACGAGGGAAGACCCACCAGGATCCTCTTCTCCAGCCTCCGCAGCATGGCATGGTCCAGCTCCCTTCAGAGCATGACAAAAAATACGTTTGGACATGTAAATTAATTCTCTGATTTTCTATCATCTGAAAACTGCAGTTTCTACTTTAACCAACAGGAGGTCAAGATTATGAGATCCTTCATTCGTCCCGTAGAGGGTACATTTCTGTGTTGCATCACCACTTACAGAACAGTAGGAATGAGCACACTGCACAAGGTCTATACTAGCTCTATACTAAACTTTGTACTAAATAAAATAACAAAATCTCTAGCTTCAGCATAATAAGGAAGCAGTCTATAATCAATAATAAGAAGCAAGAATTTAGTACAAAATCTCTGACTTTAACATAATAAAGAAGCAATTAAAAATCCTGTATATTCTAGTGCAGAAATATATAGTTGTATGTATTCATCTATAACTGTTAGCAGCCGAATGAGGGTCTGTGTGGTTTCATATTGCACATTCTGACATTGGTTCAAGATGAAGATTTTCTGATTTCACAGCTGGTAGGTGTACAGATGTTTACCAGGGCATATTGGAGGCCGCCAGGACGAACACCAGGTCATCAGATCTGGCAAGTCCGTCCATCTGAACCAGGAGCTCCGTCTTCATCCGCCGACTGCCCTCATGCTCTCCACTGAAAACAACAAACAAACCAAGGAAATACACATCTGAAGGATAAGAAAGTAACTTAAAATTGAGTACAATGTCTGGGGAGGAATTGCACTTTGAACTAGATTTTGAAACCAATATTTATTACTGCAATTGAGCATATATTCAACACAAGTTCTATTGATACTTTACAGCAGTAATGGATATACCTGAAATTACTTTTTTTCCCCATCCTTGTCATAGTACCTTTTAAAATAGTTACATTCAGTCTAACGTACCCCATGGTGGACCCTCTCTGACCCATCACCGACTCCAGTTCATCCAGAAAGATGGTGGATGGAGCGTGGTACCTGGCCAGCTCAAACAAAACCTGCACAGAGAGCAGCCAATAACTATTTCAAGTACAAGGACATGTTAAGTTACTGAGTTGGCAAGACAAACAGTGAGAACAATTGCCATACCATTTCATAAACAAGTTATCAGGAATGTGCCAGAGGTGGAGACGATGGCTTTCAAGGTGACAAAATTAGGCATTGTGTCAATTGATTGCCACCCCCACGAACCAGAAATGGATTAAGGGTATGAAAATGAATGGATGGAAGGCATAACTGTATATCTCCCATCTACATGAAACAAATGACCACAAAAACTGGACTTATAAATAGACTTAATGACTAAATGCGATAAAATCAAATACGCAATTTCTGTGGTTGCAATAAGCAAATATTTGCAAAGACTGCCAAAAAAAATGAAAAAAGCAACAGCAAAAGGAACAGATATGCACTAACTATAAGAATTTTGAGATTTAGAGATCTAATATTTGTTTTGCATCACACGCAACAGAAAAGTAGGAATAAGGAGCACACAAGACAAGATAAGTGATTAAGAATAACCCAACTCTATACTTTAAAAAAAGAAATATATATTCATATGTATAATAGATAAGTTGTGATAAATATAAAAAACTACTTTTCATGCGTTTATACTGTATATATCTTATACATTTCTCTCAGTGAAAAAACATGTTTTATTATCAGCGAGAACTCTGTAAACACTTGTACACAGTTTCAAATGTAGTTATTATTTAAACTCTGAACTAAATGACGCTCTTTAAACATGCAGAATATGAAACATACCCTGACGAGTTTCTCCGAGTCCCCTCTCCACTTGCTGACGATGCTGGAGGCAGAGATGTTGAAAAACGTGGTCTGACACTCGGTGGCCACGGCCTTGGCCAGCATGGTTTTCCCTGTGCCTGCGGGTCACACACAGGGGTCAATATGAGTAGCTCTGATGGAAAGTGTTAGTGTTTCTGTAAAGAGGGAGTTAATAACCTGGTGGTCCGTAGAGCAGTAAGCCCTTCCATGGCGACAATATCCCGGTGAATAACTGTGGGTACTGCTCAGAAAAGATGTTACATGCAAAAAGAACAATATGAAAACAGACCAGTAGCAACACAGCCCTTGCCCTCGTCTCCAGATGTCGCTGTGTTGTCCGTAAATGTTCCAAACTATGACATTAAAGCTGGGGTACTGTTCATTCAAACCACAAGCAATTGAGGTATGTGTTAAATCTAACTACTGTCTTTAGTCCAACAATTTGGATCTAGTTTGGAGTGGTTTACTGGTGCATGTATTTTTGACCTTTTTCAGACAAAAAAAGTGAAAAAGCGAGAACCACCCACACTCAGCCTATAAGCTCCCAGCCCATAGATAATAATGAAAACTACAGTAAATTGTGTTTTCCAAAGACAGAAACATTAGGTCCTGTCTGAATTGTTCACAAATAGTGACTTTAACAAGACTATTTCTGTTGGGACAATGGGACAAACACAAAGCATGATCTATAAAGCAAAATAGTTAGGTACCCCAGCTTTGAACAATAAGTTCAATCTTTTTAATAGAATATGCAGACAATGGATGACAATGGGTGATTCTCGCGAAATCAGACTTACAAGGTGGCATGAAGAATAAGATGAACAAAGTAAATGCAATGGAAATTATAATGATACATTTATAAACATGTCATCACAGGCTATGTTGCACATGATTTAAAGTGAACATTATAAAAATATTTTTATTGTTTTTTCCATATTCAATAGTAAATTTCTCATTACCGCAACGCGTCCATTACTGAATTTGAGAACTTTGAAATACAATTAAAAAAAAAAAAAAAAAAATGAAGTGTATAAATTATCAGTGCATGTTATACTATAAACAGTTACAATAAATAAACATGTGATATTGCGTATTCTTGTATAAAACAAGTTAAAGTTTTAAGGAAAATAACTTTGTCCACAACCATTTTTCTCATCCTCCGCAACAAATTTCAATAATCGTTTAAGTCCACAAGGAACTTACAAAATCAAAGAATTCTGAAGGGAGGAACATCATTTCCAGTGACACTCAAAATAGCTACCAGATAAGCACCTAATTTTATTTCTCTCCAGATAAAAGTTAAAAGTTTGTTCATTACAGCAGCTACACGACTTTTCATTTCTCATTACCGATACGCAACGTTTTTAACATTGATATTTTTTTTTAATTTAAAAATTCTTGTTTATTATATACTTCATTATGGTCCAAAAATAAACAGCTAGCTAAAGTTTAGCTAAGCCTTGTGGTGCCTTCGCAGACAGCGGAAAATTTCAAGGTCACTCATACTCCGCAACAGCATTATCATACACCGCAACAGTTAAAGGCATGTTGCGGTAGAGAGATTCACTGTTTCGGTAATGAGAAATTGATATGTTATACCAGGAATTAACACAGATATTTTTAACACATTTATGAAAAACACTTAAATAACAAAATAATAAAGCTTTTAATTATAAAGTATACCAGTAAACCTTCCAGCAGAAGTCATTAGTTTCAGTTGGCTCAGTTGGTAGAGCATTATTAGCCTTTAAGGCTAGAGGTCATGGGTTCAAGCCCACCACAAGACCTACTCCACCAACTCCCACTGATGTCTGCTGTTGTTGTATCCTTGGGCAAGACACTTTATCCCACTTTGCCTGAAGGCCCCTCTGAAAGACTAAGGCTATGCCATAGAGCTGTGCTCTGTGTAATGAGTGGCATCTCTGGCCACCTTCCAACCCAGGAATAGATTAAGGGGAAGAAAATGGATGGATTATTTTACAGAATATTATGCCCCCCTGGACTACCACCTTAACGTGGTAAGGGAGTTTGAGTACTCTGATGATCCTGGGAGCTATGTTGTCTGGGGCTTCATGGTAGGGTCTCCCATGGCAAACAGTTCTCAGCTGATGAGTCCAAAACCCACCATGTATAGCATGTTATTGAGAACCGTGACGTCGCCCGGCATGGCGCAGCCGGGGCCCCACCCTGGAGCCAGGCCTGGGGTTGGGGCTTGTATGCGAGAGTCTGGTGGGCCTTAGCCCACGGGGCCCGGCCGGGCTCAGCCCAAAGGGATGACATGGGCAGGCCCTCCTTTGGACCCACCACCCACAGAGGGATCCGTGGTGGAGAGGTGCTGAGAGGACTGGGCAGCAGTCGAAGGCGGTGACCTCAACGACCCAGTCCACGCACACAGCATATGGCTCTTGGGACGTGGAACGTCACCTCACTGGGGGTGACACACAGCTCGGGCACCGCAATCCAAATCCTCGAGAGGGGTTGGACGCTCCACTTTTCTGGTGTTTCTCGCGGGGAGAGGCGGCGAGCTGGGGTGGCCATTCTCATTGCCCCCCATCTCAGCCGCCACGTGTTGGAGTTCTCCCCGGTTAATGAGAGGGTCGCGTCCCTCCGCCTCCGGGTGGGGGACAAGTCTCTCACTGTTGTGACGGCCTACGGGCCAACAGCAGTGCAGAGTACCCGCCCTTCTTGGAGTCCTTGGGAGGTGTACTGGACGGTGTACCGCCCGGGGACTCCGTTATTCTCCTGGGGGACTTCAACGCCCATGTGGGAAATGCCAGTGACACTTGGGAAGAACGGCCCCCCTGATCTGAACCCGAGCGGTGTTCAGTTGCTGGACTTCTGTGCTAGTTACAGTTTGTCCATCACAAACACCATGTTCCAGCACAAGGGTGTCCACCAGTGCATGTGGCACCAGGACACCCTAGACCGGAGGTCGATGGTCGACTTTGTTTTCGTATCATCTGACCTTCGACCGCGTGTCTCGGACACTCTGGTGAAGAGAGGGGCGGAGCTATCAACCGATCACCATCTGGTCGTGAGTTGGATCCGCTGGCAGAGGAGGAAGCCGGTCAGACCCAAGCGTGTAGTGAGGGTCTGCTGGGAACGTCTCGCTGAGCCCCTGTCAGACGGACTTTTAACTCACACAACTCACTGGGAGAGCTTCTCCCAGGTCCCGGCGGAGGAGGGGGACATTGAGTCTGAGTGGACTATGTTCTCCGCATCTATCACCGATGCTGCAACTCGCAGCTGTGTTCTCAAGGTCTCTGGTGCTGGTCCCGCAGCAGACCCCGAACCCGGTGGTGGACACCGGCAGTAAGGGATGCGTCAGGATGAAGAAGGAGTCCTATCAAGCCATGATAGTCCGTGGGACTCCTGAGGCAGCTGTCCAGTACCGGCTGGCCAAGTGTGCTGCGGCCCGGGCTGTTGCAGAGGCAAAAACCCGGGACTGGGAGGAGTTCGGAAAGTAAAGAGGTGCCTCGTCACGTCCTCTGGACCGGAGGGGGGTTTTCTTATGAGTTTTTCCTTGCCAATGCAGGAGGGTCTGTTGGGCAGTTAGTGTCCAACTAGAAGGACTGTGGTGATGATCCAGGACGTGACGACTTTAACATTCTAGAACAAGTATGGACATTCTTCAACATGTGTTCTATTTTTATTAAGTCCTCTGAGATTACTTCTGTTGTGATTTAGGGCTATACAATAATAAATTGTATTGAATTGGGGGCAGAGGCTGAGGATGTCGGGGCGGATTCTTCCATCTCCCTGGCTGAGGTCACCAAGGTGGTTGGCAGCCTCCTTAGTGGCAAGGTACCGGTAACCACTACACATCACCATGGACACCGATGCTCCCCCCCGCGAACTCATACAAACAGATATACAAATCACAACTTGCTTCAATCCTCCCATCAAAACCAGTAAACACCATGACCCCCGAGGAACTTCAGCGCACTGTCACAGAACTATCCACTGAACTCATACATAAAGAGAAACTTCTGGAACATTTCATGGACATATCATTCAAACAGTCACAGCAAATATCCCTCTCCATACTTAGACACTCACAGCTCCACGACACAGCACTCTGGGATCCAATCGCCTGTCCTCACCCCTCATCATGCTCTACCCCGGTGCTTACCTCACGCTTCCCGGTTGCGGTTGCTCCTGTCCCTCCCGGTGCTCTTCCCTCCTCTACGGTCCCGGAGCCTGCTGCCCATACCCGGAGCGGCGCGGAGCAGAGGCCTGGAGGCCACACGACATCCACGGTGTCCTCTCGCCGCAGGTTGGTGGAGGAGGCTGTGCGCAGACGCTCGGGGAGCTTCCCACGCTCTAAAACAGCGCGGGGCTCTCCGGGTGTCACGCAGGACCAACTGCGGGAAGCCCCCGGGGGGATCTCTGTGCCCCAACGCGGCACCGGATACCCCCGGGAGCGCTGTCCCTGCTGTGGGAGGGTCCGTGTGCTCTGACGTGGGGGGAATCCCCAGAGACGGGACACGAAGCAGGTCCTACGCTGAGGTGGCCGCGGGGGGGCCTCTGCGCTCTGGCACGGTGCAGAGTCCTCCCGTAGTTGCTGCCTCGCCCGCGGGGAGTCTTTGCGCTCAATTTCGGGCGCGGAGCTCCCCCGCGGAGGCTGTCTCGCCTGCTGGAGGATCTCTCCCGCCGGTCCATGGCCCTCCCACAACCGCCCGCACTACCACCACCACCAACCCCGCTGCAGGGCGCCGGCTCGGTCTCCGGCTCCATCCTCCTGCTCCACTGCGGCTCACGGGGCTCGCAGCAGCCCTACTCCAGTCACACCCTCCCCTCCACGGCCTCTGTTTTACACCAACTACACTCCTGGTGGGGGACTCTATCATCAAACACTGTAAGTTCTTCAATGCCATCACGCACTGCTTTTCCGGAGCCACTGTCCCCACCATCCTCACGAAACTACCCGCACTTCTACAGACAGCACCCCCACAATAACCCGGATCATAATACATGTTGGTACAAATGACACTTCACTTCGCCAAACTGAAACCACCAAACTCCATTTTAAGGACCTTTTTAACCTTTTATTGAAATCCGGCAAAAGTGTTTTTATCTCTGGCCCTCTGCCCACTTTGAACCGGGGCGTGGAACGTTTTAGCAGGATATTATCACTCAACACTTGGCTTCAAAACTCATCACAACAGCACAACTTTGGTTTTATTGACAATTTTAATCTGTTCTGGAACCGCCACCCCTTCTTCACACCCGATGGACTCC